TTGCACGGTGAATAGGCAGGACGTCCGGCTCACGCTGCACTACGAAAAGGGCTTTACTATTACAAGGGAGCCAGCCGACCAAACAGGGGGCGCTGTTCTCTTCAGGTACCCCTACGAGAAGCTCAAAATGTCCGCCGACGATGGAATTCGCAATCTTTACCTTGACTTTGGTGGTCCAGAGGGAGAAATGGTGAGTTTTATATGTATAAAAACGTAGAACTTGGAATCTTTGTTTTAAAATGTAAAAATGTTAACATGTAAAATATGACAATTTCCTTGCTAACATGGCTGCTTCATTTCAGAGCAGATAACCTATTAATAAAGGCCCATCATACCTAAACATCACTGTCTTTATTTGTCCCATCTGTTCTGTGCTATTGTCCTTTAGTTGTTTTGTTGTTTTTTTTTAAAAGTCTTACTCACTGCCTTCCTTCCTCCCTCCTCCCCGCAGGTGTTCGACCTCCACTCGGGTCCAAAGCCGGTGGTCTTCGTCCTGCACTCCTTCCTGTCAGCCAAGCTCACCCGCATGGGCCTTCTGACGTGAACTAGCCGACTCACTTCAGCACAGACGGAAGGATTTACATTTTACAGCCAATTTTACTTTTATTTTTTCCCCACTTTCTCGACTTACGGTTGAGGTTAGGCCTGCCGGCGGCGCTGCAGGGAAAGTTTAAAGCACGGGTCGTTTTGTTGATTGTGTCAGAAATGTGCCTTCCAGCTCCCCCTCTCAGCCTCTCGCAATCATCTGCGCTGCAAAGTTGATGTCAAAGGAAGGAGCGTTTCGCTTCAGGTCAGGAGGATTAAGGAAGCTACTTCAACGTGCAAAAAGTAGGAGTTGATCAAATCTCTTCACATTCCACAGAGCAAAGTTTAAACCTGGTTGTAGGGGGCTGACGTAAAAGACCGCAGCACTAAAGGTTTCACTGAAAACCTCGGTCAGGAGGGCTTTTGTAGATACAAAACACAGAGTTCAGCACAAACTGGTCGATTTTCCCTGTTTTTACTCTGCCTATCATTCCATTACAGCCTTCCCATGCAGCTGGGCTCTTTTTAACTCGTGTTTGTCTTTGTGCCAGCCTGTGCTAGGAAGGTGTTTTAGAGTCCCGGTGCAGTCCCATCTGAGCAGAGATGGTGCAAACAGTGCGACTCCATACGACAAGCTAGAGACGGTGTGACCGCACGGTATCCCTAACTGCTGTTTGCAATCAGGATCGCCAGCTGTGCCTTTTTTAACTTGTAGTCAACAGCACTCTTTATAAGGTTTCCTTTTATACTCCACATTATAAGAGCTTTGATCATGCACAAGCAATAGTATTACTCTGATAGTGTAAACCATGTTACTGTGTTTTATAAGTGTATATCTTTCCTATGAAAGCATGACTCTCTTATCCACTATCAGATTATAAGTTACTTCCTCTTTCAGCTACAACTCTTCCTTTTCCCAATTCTGTTTATTTATCCAAGTTGCTTAAAATTACCTTTTTTTCTCCCTCTTTCTCTACTACAACTTCTGCAGCGAGTTATGGTGTAAAGACTTGTCTAACAGGCATGCCATCACATGATGGAGATATGAATGTATTTCAAGAGCCGCTTCACTCTTTCTTAAACCTATTTTAAACTTTTCTTTACCCTCGACGAAGGCCATCCAAACAATCTCTCGTTTTGTAAAGTGATGAAAGATTTTGCAAGCGTGTCACATGAAAAATGTTGGCCACGTTTCACGCCACCAACTGCCAAATTCACTGATTTTTACATCAACAGGGAAAAAAATCTACTTTAAAAAAAAAAGCAGTTTTCAGGATGAATCACCTCAAGGGTTTGTGAAAATGGTAATTGTTCAAACTTGCATTGAAAATAATTGAAACTGCTGCTTTGTTACTGATTATTAATAAATTCAAATCAGGCTTGAATCACTTAAAAAAAACCTGAGTTTTAAAAGTATGTTTTCAAATACAACCAAAAAAACTAATCAAATTAACAAAAGCTCATTTTACTCTTTGTGTAAATGTAAAAAGGACATGTTTAAAAAGGTCAATGATTTTTTTATTGCTCTCATAAAAACAAAAAACAGATACTGATCTTTTACTGTAAATTTACTTAAAATAATTTGGTAGTCTGTCATGTTGTTTTGAAATATGACATTCTGCTTTACTTAGTTTATATAGACCATATAAACTCACCTAACCTGACAAACAAGAGTTTTTTCAGAGTTTATTATTCATGCTAAGCTAGGCTAGTTCAACTAGAAGTTAAGCTTAGCTTTTAGCTTTATTCGATCTAAATTTTAATCAGAGCCATAAAAGTTTCAAAAGACTTTTACACTGTTATTCAATTTAAATTTGAATCATTACAAAAAAAAAAAAACATTTTAAAGTTATCATTTGTTAATTGTCATTTAAAAAGATCATGTAGCATCAGTCAAGCTATTACTCGACTGAATGCTAACTGGACTTAGCTTTGAGCAGATTTTAAAATTAAACTAGTCCCGGTTCAAACTGTGTTTAATTTGGTTATTGTAGTCCTCAACTTAAAATGCTGATCAAATTAAGAAATTATGTCAATATGACATAAAACACAATATTAAAAACAATCTAGACTTGAGTAACATGCTCTGAATAAAGGGTTGTCACCATTTTTTATACTTGCAGTATTACAACTGCTGATGTCCAAAGACTTTGTGATCGTTTAGTCTGTAAATTAGGACAAGGACATATTAAAGACAGTAAGATGTTATTGAAAAGGTTCAGAAACAAGCTTAATCAATGGTGGCAAGGTGTACAAATTTTTGTATGATTATCATTTTACACACAGCCATCATCTGGGACTGGTTTGTGTTTCTGAAGTTCCCCCTCAGTGAAGCCTCAGTTCTTTTAGACCTCAGACAATGTCCCATTGTGTCCACTGACTGTGCACCGCAGGAAAACAAGATAAACCTCTCTGTTCTCAGAGCAAGGTCTGTCCGGCATGTCTGACCTGCATACTGTAGGAAAACGACATCTTTAGAAAGTGAAAACACATTTCTGTCCAGTTCGTTTTTTAACAGTTTAAGCCTTATTCAAAACAAATTAATGTGAACGGTGTTTAAGCAGAAGTAGACTCTACTTCCCTTATTCCACTCAGCATAAATGAGTGGAATAATTCCTGCTACATTGTTGAGCATACAGTAAAGATTGTCCTAGAGGCTGTTGATGTTGCGTCCGCTTATATAACACTGACCTTATAATTATGTTAATTTTACTCAATAAGCTTCAGGTTTTCCTGTTTTCAATTGATGCACTCACCTGGCAAACCCCCTTTCAAACCTTTGAATGTACACTTTAGCCTTCTTCCTCTTTTTCTGTTTTTCTTATGAAATCATGGCATTCCTGTCTATGCAAATTAACACTTCAAAGAAAGAGTTTCATTAAACCAAAGGTATTATCTGTGGCAGCTTGCGTCCTACACAATCATAAGACTGAAAAAATTACTGTGCTGCTGCAATAACTTGTCATATGCAAAGTATTTTAGATATCCTTCCAAAATACAGTATACAATGTACAATACCAATGTAGTTACTTTATGTGTAAATATCAATAAAACTGTAAATTGAATGTTTTTGTCTCGTCTTCTTGTGGTTTTTGATTTCCCTTTGTAATATTGGAGTTTATTTGAGACGTCTGTGTTCAACTTTGGTTGCTTAACTTTGGTTGCTAGAAGCCGGTTCCACCTTGTGAGAGGATGCTCATACGTACAGAGTAGAGCTTTTCAGGTCCCTTGAAGGTTTTCACATTTAAAATGTACATTATTCCACATGTGGCAAAATTCAAACTTCTCATGAGCTCCTTTCTTATTTATGCTCTGCCTGTTTGCACTGACCCATCCAAACCTTTCCCATCGCAAACTCCTGAGGGGTGACCTTCCCTCCATCCAGGTCTTGTGCAGGTCAAATGTCAGGAAAAGGTTACCTAATATTAATATTAATAAACTCTGGTCTTACTCTTTGAAAATAGTGCATATATGTTTTGTATTTCGGATGTCTGAGAGCAAAACTGAAGAACTGAAGTCAAATTTCTGTTTTTGTGTGCACAAGGTTGGCAAATAAAGATGATTCTGTTTTTCTTAGCGCAGCACAAGAGGTTCCTGCATAAACACTGGATAAAACCTGGAGCATAAACGACAAGTACAGCGATAATTCTACGCTTGCAAAACAATACATATTAGTAATTTCAGATTTAGTGGCTTGCCCAAGGGATCTTACAAGATGTGGTGGAAGGAAGCTGTTAATGTGGCTGCCAGTTGCCACATAGCTGTGCTGGAAAGCTGTGAAAGCTAAAGGCCTTTAAAAATATTTAAATCCTGAAGAACATGCCTTATTCCAAATTTTGTTTCAGTGGATGATAGAAAACATTTGCACACTGCTACATATTTAATGTATTACATTTATGCATTAGATTGTTTGACATTTTATTTTGTTACTTTTTAAAATTATTGTTGTGTTTTTGTGGAGATCTTTGCTTTATGCTTTCCATGCAGCTCAGACCGCAAGAAGATTTTTTTCTGCCAATAGTCATCACTATTGTCTGTAACTCTTGAAGATATCAATATCAGAATTAATTCTTTAATTTAAATTTAGGAATTTAAATTATTAGAAAAATTTAAATTAAGGAGTTGCAACATTTAATTTCCCTTTGGGATTAATAGTTATTTTTAATCAGTTGAAACTGAGTGTAATACCCGAGATTCGACGCTAGGTGGCAGTATCTTGCTTGACCTCGGCAGCTATCAAGTTGGCTTTAATTAACCGGATCTAATGATTCCTTGCCTTCAAATTACACACATATCACCAACATCTTTATCGTTGGTATTACTGTGTAGATTAGCGTTAGTATTTTTTTTCTTCAACAAAATATACCTAATTGTCCAAAGATGTTTTTCTTTTTAAAAGAACTCCCTCCGTTTGGAAGCTTTTCCGTAGCGCTTTGAAAACTTGAACCGGAAGCTTTTCTCGTGTCAACCAGCTTGTCAGAAGCTGCAGTGTTGTTGTTGCTAGCGCTTTAGCCGCTGCTCTGTTCTTGTCATGTCACTAACAGCCAATTTACCGTAAACATACAGTCACAAACAAACATTTTCTCAAGCGTTCACCTTTGTGGTGGGATAAGAAGATAAAGCTGTAGCCGAGGAGCCGAAAAGTGAGATGAAATGACAACGTCAACACTGCAGGTACGTCTCAACGTTAGCCAGTAGAGCTAGCAGAGCTAACCTTTGAGTTTAAACCAGCCTGGTTCTGAGCAATTAAAACACAGCGTTTTATTTTCGATTCTTTTCATTGGTTTATATCTAATTACTAAAGCTATTTAGGACCGCCGGATGAATTCCAGATTTTGGTAGTCGATTTCACTTGAATCAAAACCAAAACAAAAGACTTAAATACTGCACACCATAGACATAAATGCATGATTATGTCTATGCTGTTCACCTTCCATAAGCATTTGAAGTATATATTTATTGCTACAAGTGCTACCTGAAACTATTGTTCGTATATAGTAAATTAAAAAGATTGTTTCTGTTATTTAAGATTCAGAGGTCACAAACTCTACTCAACAGTTTTGCTCTTTTTGTCTCTTTCCTGCTACTCTCAGACAGCAAATCAAACATTTTGTCATTTTTGATCCATTTGTCAATAGCCTGAAACCACAAAAAAGTTATATAAATACATTTCTTGCAGCAGAACAAAATGAGTTCACATTACATTTCACTTTAGTGGTAATTAAATGTGGGGTTTGTCTTGCACAGCAAGAATTTCAGGGCTTGTTTTGGTAAATTTATGTCCAACATCTCTTGGAAGCGAAACCTGTAAAAGCACATTTGATTTACATCTAATGGAGTCAGCGCTTGTTCTCGTCACAAACATGTTTGTGACAGTATGTAATGCTCTTAATGTACAACTCTGAAGTCAGGTTACAGCCACACTTGTTCAGTTGTTTGAAGACAGAAATCTGCAGCTCAATATATTTGGTGTTTTGGGAATGACTTGTTGAAGGTAAAACCGAACAGCAGAATGAAGAAGAAAAGCCATCTAAGCGGTTTTGAATATTAGATTGTTGTTGGTGAGAGCATTCAGAAATTGCAGATCCACTGGGAATCTTTTAAGCAGAATAATTTCCCTGGTTTACAGAGAAAATGTCCAGTAAGCGACAGTTGTGTCGATGATGAAGCCTTGCTGACGTCAGAGGATACTGACTGTTGCTCAAATCGCCACTTTATACAACAAATAAAGCGTCCAGGATTATCATCTCTGAACTCGCATGTCATTTGGATGGAAATGTGCAGAAAACCGCATAAGGTTCTGCATCTGCTCAAGATGAGGAAACCGATGCTCCAGAGGTTTGCTAAAACTTACTGCTTGTCTGGTACGATGACTATTGAATTCAGCTACAACATTCAAGATGGCGCAGTCAGAATTTGATGTAAATGAAGAAAAACAAGTGTTTGGACAGAATCTCTGTTTGTATTTCGCTGCCTTCTGGTCCTTTTGCTCCACCATTACAGTTTTAACCTCAGAACTCCTCCTTCAGGTTCTTTTGGACTTACTTTGACACTTGATGCTGGAAAAGGACTGTGTCCAGTTCTAGTCGTCATGGCACAAGTGCTCTGTTTGTAATAGATTTATTCCCTTTGCACAGCTTTTTCAACATGTGCGACATCAGGGAATGTAACACCTAGCAGTGAAGCTTGAAATATGCAAGACATGCAGGACTCCTGCCTTCTAAGACTCAAATTGGACATCACTGGGTTAAAAACATCTCACGTATTATACTCCTGGTCTAATGGGATTGTGGTTTGATCTAGAAGATAGTTACTCATCATTTGTGAAAAGTTGACAAAAGGATATAAAAGGATTAGAACCAAAGTGGAAATTGGGGATAATATGAAATCTTCTAAAACCTGAAATTAGAGAAGCAGGCTGAGATTCTAGCGCTCGGGCGCAATGCGGCAGCTTTCAGTAACAGTTTGAACTCTCAGTCTATCCAGCGTTGATCCTCTGAAATCATATTTCCGAATCTGCTGCAGAAAGCGATCGATCTCGTCACCAAAGCCACAGAGGAGGACAAAGCGAAGAATTATGAGGAGGCTTTGCGATTATACCAGCATGCCGTGGAGTACTTCCTGCACGCCATCAAATGTAAGTATTGCATCCCGACAATTTGCCGGCCTCTGCGGGCGCCGTGTTGTTCACGTCGCCTTGCGATGGTCACTGTGTCCAGATGAGGCCCACAGCGACAAGGCCAAGGAGAGCATACGAGCCAAGTGCATGCAGTACCTGGACAGAGCGGAGAAACTCAAAGACTATCTGAAGAACAAAGACAAGCAGGGCAAGAAGCCCGTCAAGGAGGCGCAGAGCAATGACAAGTACGTTGTCTCTCTCTTGTTAAAGCACCCAGAGTTCACGATGCCTCGCTCAAGTATTCACACCCCTTGAACTTTTCCGGATTTTATTTAATTCCTTCAACAAAACTTAAGTGGATTTTGCTTGGATTTTATGTGATGGGCCAACACAGAGTAGCCGAAACATGAGAAGTGAAAGTAAAACGATTCAAGGTTTTTACATTTACAGATGTGATGTCAATTTTCATTTTTTTATTGGCCCCACCTTATACAAGGAAACAACCTTAACAAAACTGTTTCCAGCAGAAGTCAGGTAATTTGTAAACAGAGTTTGTGTGGAATCTACTCTCATTATTTGTACCGATTTCTTCTGTTTGATGCACAGCTTTGTGTTTGTCTATCACATGAAAACCATTAACGTTTGTGGCTGTGACGTGAAACCCGGAAAGCTTTGAGGAGATGTGAATGAGGTTGCGAGGCGCTGCGGCGAACGCGGCTTTGAGGTCATTCTACTTTTTGTTTGTTTTTAAGGAGCGACAGCGACAGCGAGGGAGAAAATCCAGAGAAGAAGAAACTGCAGGAGCAACTTATGGGTCAGTCGACTGGCAGAGATTTGATCTCTGTCATAGAAAAAAACAAACTGTGTATTTATAAAGCTGCAGCGTCACCTGATGGCATCTTATGTCTCATCTTTCAAATCATGACTGGCGTTTAATATTGGAGTTACTGACTGAGACTCTCATTCAGCTTTACTGATGCTAGTTTGTGACAAGTTCTACTTTTGTAACCCCATTTATCAAGATAAAAAATATTAAAATATAGAACATTCTCTACTGGTAGTTTCTTCACGCTGATATGCTTTTGCTGTCTGTTTTGTAACGGCATGAACAAGCCGTGCATCGGTTTCCTCATCCGTCTGAGATCTGTTTGTGTTTCCCAGGTGCCATCGTGATGGAGAAGCCCAACGTAAGGTGGAACGACGTTGCTGGACTGGAGGGAGCAAAAGAAGCGTTGAAGGAAGCCGTCATCCTGCCCATCAAGTTCCCTCACCTCTTCACAGGTTTGATCTTCCCTCTGGCGCTCTGATTACACATCGACTGTTTCTCTTGCAACCGATGTGATGTTTCAGTGGGTTAAAAATCCTCAAGCCTTGTTTGAAAGTTTCATTTCACTGCAGCGTCTCTTCTCTCTCAGGGAAGCGGACTCCGTGGAGAGGCATCCTTCTGTTCGGGCCTCCAGGGACGGGGAAGTCGTACCTGGCCAAGGCCGTGGCCACCGAAGCCAACAACTCCACCTTCTTCTCCGTGTCCTCCTCTGACCTCATGTCCAAGTGGCTGGGAGAGAGCGAGAAGTACGTCTTGCATCGACGCAGCGTCATGGATGCGGATGGGTGTTTCTGTGGCATCATGACTGTTTCTGTCCGTCTCCATCAGGCTGGTGAAGAACCTGTTCGATCTGGCGCGTCAGCACAAGCCTTCGATCATCTTCATCGACGAAGTGGACTCGCTGTGCGGCTCCAGGAACGAGAACGAGAGCGAGGCGGCGCGCCGCATCAAGACAGAGTTTCTGGTCCAGATGCAAGGTCAGGAGCCACGCCACGCCACGCCCCTTTACATTTATTCAATGTTTAGTTGAAACATTAATCCGAGCTATTGCAATAACAACAGGTAGTCATCCAGCAAGAGAGCCTGTTTAGATGTTAACCACAGCTGTTTGCTTATTTTAGGTGTTGGCAACAATAACGATGGTATTTTGGTGCTTGGCGCCACCAACATCCCCTGGGTGCTGGACGCTGCCATTCGCAGAAGGTCAGAAGATCAATACTTCATAACTGTTAGCTTGGCTTCTGGTGGGCTTAATAACCTTTTGGGTCACTAAGAACCAGGATCACACAACCAGATAGTTTTGTGTTTGAATGCGCGAGAAAAACAAGATGTAACTATGTGATTATAGCTCCGTTAAGAAAGTAGAACTGCTATTAGCTAAACCGGTACATCTTTAATCACATGCAGGGATGTAAATGCATCCAAGATAAGAGAAAATAACAGTGCACCTGTTATTGCCTGTGTAACATGCCAGGAATTTGTAACAGATCATTTTAAAGCTTTTTTGACCTGTAAAGTGACGTGTTTCCTGTATAACTCAAATAGACAGCACCTGTTGAAGGAAAATATCCTAAATAAAAAAGTGAGCTCCGCCTGAGGCTTACACATTAGCTGGGTTGAGTATCAAATGTTAGAAAACAGTGTCTCCAAATATAAAGTGCAGTGGACAAATGGAAAACAAAATGCATTTCTTGCTAAAGTGAGCAGTTTATTGTTGGCTAAAGTGTGTATAGATGTCAACACTGCAGGTCTTTATAACATAATTTTTTTTAAAATCTGCAAAAATATATGAAATGTGAAGCAACCAGGATAAGTTGAAGATTTGACTATGAAGGTTTTTGTAGGTGTGTGTAGTTTGATTTCTGAGTGTCAGAAGCCAGAGGTTTTCCTCCCGGCTGTTAAAGTTGTTTTCTGTGGGATCAGATTCGAGAAGAGGATCTACATCCCTCTCCCGGAGGAGCCGGCCCGGGCCCAGATGTTCCAACTTCACCTGGGCAACACGCCGCACAGCCTGAGCGACGCCGACCTCCGCGAGCTCGCGCGCAAAACGGACGGCTACTCGGGCGCCGACATCAGCATCATCGTCCGGGACGCGCTCATGCAGCCGGTCAGGAAGGTCCAGTCGGCTACTCACTTTAAAAAGGTACGAAAGGCTCCGGGGCGCCGTGAACCGCTGACCTCCTGGATGTCGTGTTTAATATTTCAAATCTCTAATCTGGAGTTCAGGTTGAATAGTTTTCATTTCTGAACAGGGGCGTCTGTCTTTTTTTTTTTTTTTGTCCTTGTTTTCCTGCAGGTTCGTGGTCCGTCCCGAAGCAACAACCAGGTGATGGTGGATGACCTCTTGACCCCGTGCTCCCCTGGAGATCCTGCAGCCATAGAGATGACCTGGATGGATGTGCCTAGCGATAAACTACTGGAGCCCATAGTTTGCATGGTGAGAGACGACGATGAAAAATGTGTTTGAAACCCTGAAGTAAATCAGCTTTTATCATCGGTTGCTTTTGTTTTAGCTGAACTCACAGGCTTTCTGTATTCAATAAACCTGTGGTGGATTTCTGAAGCGTTTCTATTTAGGTTTAGACAAATAACCTGGATTGTCGTCTCTTCTTTTACCTTGAGCCTTTATGGTCTTAACAAAAGCTTTACAGGTTAAAACAGAAAGAAATTCTGAGAAAACTTTGACCTTTTTGAAAGGAAAGAACAGAAAATGAATCCCTGCGCTGCTGGTTGTGATGGAGACATGATGACCCTGAGACGCCACTCTTTACGTCGTTCTTTCTATCGCTGTCCATCCAAAAACTGAAGCACTTAAAAAATGTTATTAGACTTTAAAATGAATTGGCTATAAGCAATTATGCATATCAGTGAATGAAAAATCAGTTTACTAAAAGACTTAAATGAACTTTGTGAGACATGGAGTGACGTTAAGTGATGATCTGATGATGCGTTTTCTGTTAACTGAAATAAAAATACATTTTTACAGATGTTCTAATTTACTCAAGAATAAAACACATTGAATCTGTCACTGTGGTTCTCACAAAGCCAAAAAGGAATTGGTTTTTATTATGGAATCAAGAAGAAATGGTTGTTTCAGTATTTTCATGCAAAGTTCTTATTTATTACCTACAACAGACTCTTAAAAGTAAGTAGCTTTAAACTATGTTGCCCATCTTTCTTTTTCTATTTTCACAGAAGAGGCTCTTTTCCACTAGGGGAATCGTTTTGTCCTAAATCCTGAAAACATAAATTATTTTAGCTTTTTATAATGAAACATTTTGTTGTGTCTCCAGGTGAGTTTTATTTTGTATGCGAAATACGCTGCCTCTCGATCTAGATAAATCAGCCAGGTGAGATTTTGGAGCAGGAAGTGGCAGTGAATCTTCTTCTTCTTCTTCTTCTTCCTCCTCCTGTGCAGTCGGACATGTTGCGCTCTCTGTCCACCACGCGTCCCACAGTCAACACCGAAGACCTGATGAAGGTGAAGAAGTTCACGGAAGACTTTGGGATGGAGGGTTGAGGGACGCCGACCCCGGAGGCTCAGACCTGCTCCCAGTAAAGCCACTCCTCCTGTTCTTCCTCCTCCTCCTCACCGCTGTGTAGGCCTCCATCTTTCAGCAGGTTGACATCCAGCTGGTCTGACGTCTGTTCAAGCAGGCCGCGATTATAGAACATCCGAAGGACGTTTTCCAAATGCCACATTAGACAAATCTGTGTGGTTTTTTGTTTTTTGGTTTTTTGGTAGTTGGACAGTAGGTCTCATGTCTCGCGCCCTCATTTCTGATGATGTAACCCTGCAGAATCCTCACTACATGAACTCGGCTGCATTTTACGCTGGGGAACGCTCCAAGTCCCCGGCCCCGAGCCGACCCGCTCTACGACTGAAGGACTGTACGTTTTGTCGCCGTCGTGCACTTTGCTTCGGATCCACATGACGAACCCTGATGACTGAAGGTGAAGCAGAAGTTTATCATTTCCACCAGGCATGCAAGCGTGTGAATGCATCTCAGTGTTTTTATTGTTAAACGTGCGTGTCTTAATGTTTCCGTTTAAATGTCAGGAGCCGGTTGTTTGCTTATTTAACGTTGAAGCGTGTCTGGCTCAGGCCTGCAGCGGCAGGCCAGTAGCAATCTGACTGAAGAGATGTGCCTGACTGGGAGACAAAGCAGAGTCGATGGCGGTCATAGTTTTTCACGAGGGTTTCACAAATTCCATAAAACGTTTGACATTTGAACCCAAATCTTCCAGACACTTTTCTTTCTTTACCTTTTACAAACTCGCAGACCTTCAACGTTCTGTGAGTTTTATGTTTCTGACAGTAAACGTAAGAATGAGAGTCCGCCCAGCTCATTAAATGTGGCTAAACACGGAACGAGAGCCAGAAACTTTAAACATAAAACCCTACCAATGACTGCTTCCGACAGGCGCGACTGCCGATATTGCGAAGACGATTTGAAATATATAAATATATATCTGAAGCAGTCATTAGGTACTGCAGTTACGGTCTGGGATAACAAATGCCAACGTTTTTAAAATTTTGGTTGAAACATTTAACTGCATCTTATTCCAGCTGAACCAAAACAATCACTTGATTCTGAAAACCTTGTCAAGGCCCATGAAGGAGACCCGGTCCGGCACATCTCTGAGATTTCCCTGCACATGTAGTGTTAACCTTATTTATGGTGATTCGTCTCCTCTGTAGAGAAACAGTATGTTTACACTTGAAGTATTACCTTTCTTGCTGATTTAGCACCTTTGAAAGGCCTAATTCATTTTTTTTTTTTTGCTTTCTGGGAGAGAAATCCACACTAATTTTTCTTTGAGATGCTGCTGCCTAGTTTTGTTTTCAGCCATCTTGGTTGCTAGGAGAGCAGCCGGCCGTCTTCACAGACGCTGACATCGGGACGCCAGGCTCCGTGTGCTCTGAGCGACGAGACTCGCGGTGAATCGATGACTAAGCCCTGCAGTAGTACAGCTGTGTTTGTCCTGGTATGTTCTGGTTCAGTGGGAGCTTAGTGAACAAAATCCCTCATGTGGGGGAAAAAAACCTGCTGCTGGCTGTGTAACCATTACAACTAATTTAACCGGAGTTAATAAAAACTGACATTTCAAATGAAGCCTGTGTTGCTGTGTTGTTTACACACACACACACACACAAAAAGCATTTAGAGATTTTCAGGACTGGTTGAGTTTTTGTGAATGTTTTTAATTTCCATTTATAAAAAAGATATGTTACAGGCATGTTTAGATAAAACAAAGATCTAATCATTTAAAGAAGCAGCAGAAACAACCCAGCAGGTTAGCATTAGTCAAGTCATTACCCTTCGGTTTTTCAACCTGTACAGCTTCAATCATAAGTTTACATTGTGCCTATCAAAGCACTACTGTTCGTTATCGAGGCAGAACGCACCAACGAAGAAGAAAAACAAAGGCCTTTATACAGACAACAAAAAGACGAGTTTCAGCCGTTTTTAAATATTTTCTTTCATTACCATGAAACACTTTACCAGGTTCTAATTTAATGTGAATTAATTTAGAAATATTGGATCTAAACACTGAAAAGTGTCACAAAATGTACCAGTTTGTGTTTAAGAAGCAGGTAAAAATGAAGAAAACTGAACAGAGCCATCTTGTTATGTTGTACATTTGATCATTTAGCCCATTTGGGCTCTTTTTGTTTTGATCACATCAACACTTTAACAAAATTGGCTTTAAAACTGCATCGTTAGCGCTCTCATTTTCTCCCCCTGGACTTCGCCTCCAGTGTGGCACCGCAGCTCCCCACCAGGGGGCAGTAATCACCCTCCTCAGACTTTGCTGCTCTTCCTCCTCTTCGGCTGGCTCTCCGCCGGAGCAACAGCTCGCTTGTTTCGATGGTGCGGGAACGTCGGCATCAGCTCCGGCTCGCAGGCTGGGATAGAAGACAGGCCGCTGGGGTCAGCAGAGGTCAGAGGTCACTCGTTAACTGTTGAATAATAAACTCACGCAGAGGCTTCTCTTTGAAGTAGGAACTCTCCAGACAATCTTTGGCGGTCGCTCTGGGACAGGAAAACAGAACCGCACTTAAATCTCGACCACACCGTGTCGTGGTGGTAATGATGATCATTTTAAATCCAGGTGTTCTACCTGCGCTGTGGGTTGTACATGAAGAGCAAGTTGAGCAGTCTGTGTCCAGCATCAGACAGCCAGGTGAACTTGTTCTTCAGGTTGTTGTACGGCTGCTTCCTCAGGCTGTACTGACCGATGAGCGGCAGCTGAGAGAAACCCTGCAACAAAACACGGCGCCTTTATAATGCTCTGTGGCGTTCATCTCTGGAGGGTTCTCCCTCCCGGACCAGAGTCTCACCGGCCAGATGTTCTCGTTGGGCGTCCCCAGCAGCTGCACGATCAGGTCCACCTGCTGGATCTCTGAGGTTCCGGGCAGCAGAGGTTTGTGGGCCAGCAGCTCGGCCAGGATGCAGCCCACTGCCCTGTGAAGGAAACGTCACGTCCGGCTTCGTCTTTTATCGTGATATCAACCCGAGTACCGGCGTGGCACGTAAAAACCTCAGCGCAGCCTGAGCCCAGAGAACCAAACTTGCAAACTCGATCAGACCTGCTGGGATTTCTCACCACATGTCCAGAGCTGTAGTTTGAGTCTTGGTCCCCAGGAGGAGCTCCGGAGCTCGGTACCTGCGTGAAGGAGAAGACACGGTTAGACTGCAGACCTCAATGAGATAATGAAGCTGGATTACTGCAGAGGATTAACGGGAAGAGTTTCCACTGAGGCAGCGCAAGCACAGCATCACCGGGGGAATTTCCACAGTACATCACACACACATCAACTGGGATCAAACAGAAGGAGACCTGATTATTCACCGCCGTCACTTTTAGACGTCATCTTCAACAAGGAGGCTGAGTTACTCAAGAAGCTGGCTCTTCAGAGACAACCGTAACCACACATATTAATGGAAAGTTGAGTGGAAGGAAAACGATAGGTAGGAAAAAGGGTGTGGAAGTCTCAAAGTCGGGTGAAGATGTGAAGAGGATATGACATAAAGGCCCGTAGTTCCTCTGGAGGAGCTGCTTCTCATGTGAAAGAATCTGTTTGACAGGCTGCTCTCCACCAACCTTTTTGGTCAACATGGAAAACAATAAATAAACTTAATGCTTCACATTATCCTGAAAACACCAAGGAAAGTGAACGCACCGGTCAGAGTTGATGGAGATGAATTGAGGAAGAACACCGGTTTAAAAACGCAGAGGTTGCACTGCAGCACAACAAGTCTAAACATCCAGCCAGAGCCACAATGGAACAGTTTAGATCAAAGAATATCCATATGTCAACATGGCCTAGTCAAAGTCCAGCTTAAGCTACTTTCCAAAGTAAAATGGCTGAAAATTTCTGCTTCTAGATGTTGAAAGATTTGCATAATTGGAGCAAAAAGTGGTAAATTATTGAGTCAGGAGAGGCTGAATACAATTGCACACCACACTTGTCAGAACAAAAAGCATGTATTGTCTTCTTCTTGCTTTACAAGTAAGAAAACCTTTGTGTTGATTTCAATCACATTAAATGCCAGTAAAATAAACTAAAGTTTGCGAAACAACATGGACGACCTTTATCATTTCAGTGAAAGCTCCAGGCAATCACAGCCGTCTGCATAAATCCTGTTCTGTGATCAGACGAGCCGCTTACCGTCCGCACAAACATGCAGCCGTGTTACAGATTTAGCTCTCAGGTGAGCGAGAGGAAGCTGGTTGCTTTGGACAGAATTTACTGCCAAAGCAAGAGCGATGCTTTCCACGCAGAGAATTAAGAGCTGCTGCTAAATAAAAACAACAAATCCTGGGAATCTAAACATTTATCTAAATGCCGGTTATGTAACGGCCGAGGTACCCGCAGTAACTTTGGGCCTAAGCCTGGACGCTCCTCTTATCTCCAACCGGTCACCAGTTAATCTGATGTTACGAGTTCTTCAAACCTTCGTTTTGTCTTTGCTTCTCTGGTTTCTAGGACTCTGGTGCTCTTGTCAAATTCAGGATTTGAGAGCAATTTCTGAGAGTTCTGCACAAAAACAAAAAAACAAATCTGGGCTCATTCAGATTTGTTTTCATCATTACTTAATAATATAAGATGACTACATGAGTTTTATGGTGCATCCGCGACCTGAAGCGTTCAAAGTCTACATGGTGTTTTTGGAGCGTCCAGAGAACAACAACGGCGAGAGCTAATGTGTCTATCGCGCGTAAACAGCGTCCGGAAACACTCACCACAGTGTGACCACTCTGGGGGTCATTGGCGGCTGAGGGATCCCGTACATCCTGGCCAATCCAAAATCAGCTGAACCGAAGAGATAAAGAGATGGATGGATGAACAACCAGAGCTGCAGAAAGATTATCACTAACCCTAAACCCAATAAGGAAGTTTGAGATTTTTTTTTAATCTACAAAAAAATTCCTAGAAACTCATTAAATATGCAAAGAGAGGAAACAAGGAAACACTAAAACTGGAAATGCCGACAAACTGATAAAAATATGGCGTCGCAAGCCCTAAAATAAACATATATGTTCTTGAAGTAACATCATTTCTCACTGGAGATGATTTTCATCAAATCTGAACTTTAATTTAGGTCAATCCTGCAATAAGGGAGGCAGGGATTAGCAGAGAAGCTGCTGCTGCGGTGGTGTTGGTGGTAATGTCACCGTACGGACTCACCGATCTTAACGCAGCCTTTGTCGGTCATCAGCAGATTAGACACCTTCAGGTCCCTGATAACGAGATAGAGCAGATTAATGAGGCCGCTGCTCTCAGCTCCGTTTGCTGCAGTGCGTCTTCGGTCCTTACGTTACGTTTTTTTTTTTAAAGCTCACTGTTTGCACACAGCTTCACGTCTTCCCTCTGAGAGATTAGCAGCTTAGCCTGCTATGTTGAGCTGAAAGCGAGAGTTTTCGGCATTACGTGGGTGGATCTATTTGAACCTCGTTAGATCATTAGTGCGACTGAAGCTGAACTCATCGCCTGCTGCATGTCGGGTTCAGAGTTCGCAGCTTAAACTATCTCAACAAAACGTTAGCAGCTCACTGGTTCTATTATATCCTCAGACAAATATTTTGTTTATGTTTACGTGTTGATAATCTAAAAATGTACAACAGAAAAATAAGCGTATGGACCCTTTAAAAGATAGTGTCACCCCTAAGCTTGGCGTGCCATGTCTCTAAAACTAAAAGTTATTTAATAAGCATTTTCAAAGCAAATTCTGCTAATTTTGACAATTGTTTTTTTTTCCTTTTTCCTGTAACTTTTTTTAAAATTATTATTATTCTTTCGGGATTCACCCGTTTTCAGCTCATCCCACTCTCCCATCAGCTCTGACTAGTGTCCCTATCCCTCATGGTGCGTTCACACCGAATGCGTTTCGAGCATTTAGCGCGGCGCGATTCGAACTGTTTGGAGCGTTTTGAGCACTTGACGCACAGAGTGGGTTCAACGCTCCACATAGATGTTAAATGTAAACCAGACGGTGTAAACAACCTCAAGCGCGTCGAACTTGAAGCGTTTTTGACGTGCGTGACGCGTTTGGTGTGAACGCACCATCCGAGAAACAATCATCATTTCAACATTATGCTGCCATCACCGTACTTCAACATGGGTGATCTGCGGCATTGGTTTCCTACAACATATAGCATTTTGCGTGCAAGCCAGAAAATTTAGTTTTGGCCTCAAAACGCAACCCCGAATCGGCTTTTAGCAGACACCACAGGAGGATTTCTTCTCGCCTCGCATTTATTTTCTTGCCACCCGTCCATAAAAAGGTCAAAATCGAGGAACGCACCACTAAAAGTTATCCTGTGGATCTCTGCAGCTCCGCCATTGTTAGTTGTTTCTCTGATCAGAGTAAAGGAAACCAAATAGAAATGTCTTCTTATTTGGGGGGGCTAAGAGAAAAAACTGAACATATATTAATTTCCTTCGACCTCCCAGTTGTGAACTAATTTGAGTTGTTGAATCAGACAAATTTTGGAAAGTTTCGGGTCGGGTGAATCCTCTGGAAGGCTCACCTGTGTATGATGAAGCTGTGATGGAGATACTCCAAGCCTCTGAGCAGCTGAAGGACGATGCACTTCACCTGGAGGAGAGAGGACATATCTTCAAACAACAGACGGGAAACGAACATGTTGACTTTATTCTTTTCTTTTAAGTAGTTTCATTTTTGGATATTTTTTGGCCGTCTTCAAAAGGCTGAAATTTTTAATGAACACATTTCATTTTTTACAGCCGTCTGTCGTTTTCCAGACGCCGTCGCAGAGCGTTAGCCTCTCCGGCACTAAAAGGAAACCGCAGATTGCAGTATTGCACACACAGGTATTGACGTTTGATGAATTTTGCAGCTGTAATTTTCAATGTGGAATTTGAAGAAATTAAATCACTGAAATTCCACGGACGCAGTGGCTGTTTCCACAACGCATTAAACATTTCACAACAACAAAGGGCCACATCCTAATCGCGCGTAAACGGCAGTTAAATCCTAATCTAAATAGAGTAATCTTCCCAATCAAATGAACCATCCACCACTCTCCATCGTGTACCCCACCTGGTTTGGACTTAATGATATATAAATCACTAAAAACAACAAAAAAGATTAATTTTCTATCAGATTAATATCATTAAATACAGGTTGGTACAGACACAGAAACGTCACCCTTTGTTTGAACATAAACATTGAAATGTGCAGGTAAACCGAGACGTCTTGAGGTGTGAAACAACACTGTGTTTGTCTGGTGTCCATGAAGAGAACCAGAAGAGAAACACTGAAATCGTACCCGGTTTTTCAAAAAGCTGCTTAAATAAATGTAAACAGTCCCTAAGCACTTCTGGTGTAAACGTGAAGGAAAAGAATGCTTAATCAATAACAAAGCAGGGAAGTAAATGTGTGATTATTAAAATAATCAAATAAATAAATAGAAACCGAGTTTTACCTGAGCTTCGGAGAATGGCGTCTGCATGTTTTCCAGCAGACTGGCCAAGTCCTGTTCACAGTAACTCATCACCAGAAACAAACTGGAAGAAAGACGGACGCAAACTAGTACTTCTGCACATACTTTTTCTTTTCTTGTTTAATTCATCGAGTTGGTGTTATATATGTATTTTCATACACTTGAGGTCAGGTCTGAATGATTTTAGAACCCATACAAAACAGAACCTGGCCAATCCAATGAGGCCATTTCATTCAAATCATGTATTTATACAAAGGAGTATTTAAAGTCGAGCTGCTGGCTCTGTTCCTATGTCTGAAAACAAGTTTCAGTGGGTGGGTACCTCTCCAGATGGCTGCCTACCACCACCTCTTTCAGCTCCACGATGTTTGGATGTCTCAACCTCAGCAGCAGTGTTATCTCTCTCAGGCTGCTGATGGGAATGCCTGACAGAAAAAACCCACCAAAACTAAATACTTTAAGAACTTCAAAGAATAATGGTTGAAGGTGAACTTTTCATTCATTGCGCCCCTTTGTAGAGCCGCAGACATGCCCTGAATTAGATCTGTAGCAGTAAAATGTCCTCACCATCCTTCTCGTTGTCCATGCGGACCTTCTTCAACGCTACGATCTCATCCGACTTGGTGTCACGGGCTCGGTCTGAAGGAAGAGGAGAAACCGCTCAGTTCGTCGATTAGTGGGCTGTGGTCGATCTGAGTCGATCAAATGTGTCGGACAAACTTACACACAATGCCATACGTCCCTTCTCCTATTCGGTTGAGCTTCTCAAACTCCCTGACACTTCGGCAGCTTCCAAACTAAAGGAATTAAAAACATACTTTAAAAAAATACTGAGGAGCTGTGAAGGACTACATCCCCCCCTACCCCCCACCTCAAAGTAGGTTTTTCTTTATTCCTCTCTACGTGACTGTTTTGACACGTTGCAGTGTATGCCGATAATCGCCATATACTTCGTAGATGTATAAAATAATGTCAATTATATCCTGTCGATCCATTCCGTCAAGACATATGTAGTTTCATTAAAATTTGCCAAGTCGAGAACGAGGTTCGGCATCGTTCCCAGCATTCATCCACTCACCCTGTCGTTCTGCGGTACTGTGAAGGTTTTCTTGTCTTTAATGGACTTCAGCTTTATCAAGTCCGGCTCGTCCTCGCCGACGGCGTCCATTCTCCGAGTTTTTAAAAGGTTTTTGCAGCTCAGGCGAGAAGAGAGACGTCAGGTGGGATTCCCGATGAGGTTTGTTTTGAGTCCACGCGCAGGACAACAAAGAGCTTTCCCGGAGTTCGAGGCCATTTGAATCCTTTCCCGGAGTGTCAGTTTTGGAGTTAAAATAAATATCTACAGAGAAACTAATCAGAAAGAAAATCAATTGTTTATTTAAACCGCACGAAACCGAGGCAGTTGTGGATATATATAAAATCATTCTATTCTAATTATCATTGCTCTCTTGTTGCACACTATTTGTTAAATGACTTTATGTCAAAAGCCAAAAGTTTCATGATCCAACAAATGGATATTTTGTTCATGTTTATTTAATAAGTGAAAATAAAAACATATATACTTATACACTTTTCAAATGTACACAGAAAAAAATAACTGAATACTTATTACTTAATGATAAATGATTACTACTGATGTTAAATAACTTAAATTATGAGAACAGTTGTTTAACCTCGCGATTGTTTTGTGTGAAATTTATTTACAATGGTTTTAGTGTTTCCTGTGCCAATGCTCATAAATCATGCAAGACAGTTTGTTTCCCAATTTGATCTTCATCAAGCCATTTAATACTTTCACAAAAATTAAGATATTTTATTTTAAAAAATGCATGTAATTAAATGATCACCTAATATATATGCATCACACACTCTCTCTCTCTTGTGTGTATATCTACATACATACAAACTGACCCATTTAAAAGTCAGTTTCTTGCTCAGTCCATCCCTTAGTTTCTTGCTCAGTCCATCCCTTATCTTCATATTTGCACTTCTCTGTGCGTTTATGGTTTAGAAAAGTTTTTTTCTTCTTCTCCACGACATGCCTTTGCTCGATGCCTGGAGGATTCACTTTCATTGCAAACAAATGTCTCTTAAGAGGCACTTACATCATGTGGAGTACATGTCGCATCACTGTCTGGTTGTGATTTTCCTCCCCACTACGAAAGGCGAGGAGCCAGGCCGCCGCTCTTTCATAGCATCAGCTATAGTGACGTTGGACGGCGCGGCAAAGACGTCTTCTCGTGACGGAGCCGTGACGATGATGACGGGCGCGTGGCAGGAAGAGTTGGATGAATCGGTCTCAGTGTTGGGCTGTGATGAGACGTGGTTCTCTGAAACTTAAAAGAAGCTTAGGTTTCTCATGAATCTTATAAGATTTACAAATAGCACATTCCTGACTGGACTCATCAGGTAAAAATGAAAGAAAAAAAAAAAGATCTCAAGAGAGCTTTGTGAGATTAATCTGGATCTGGATAGAATGGTCATAACAGTCAAACACTTTCATTAGACCCACAGGACATGAAATCTATGTGTATTCCATATTTGGGCTTTATTATGGAATAATGGTTTCTTCCATGTTGTCAGAAAAATGACAATGTTTTCTTTCCACTTTCAACTTCTTTTGTTTTTATTCTATTTTATTTTATCCCGATCAAGCGCCACATTCCCACAGTGTTTAAACTTCCATATAAATCAGATGACTGTCACCTCCAGATGTTTGGCCATTTTACCCGATTGTTAACCAGAAATGTGGAGGCACAAGTTTCTCATTTTATTTGAAGTGCTGTAAACTGATTTCAGGACATCGACATGTGAAGCTGAACTCAAACTCATAACCTTCTTGTTGCCAGACTGTGGTTTGTGAAGCATTCAACGAGCCTCTGGCATGTTTTTACCTCTGCTTGACAGAATTCAATTGGTCAGAATCCAGGCGCGGATTTAGCTTTTCAGCACTGGCCATTAATACTTGGTCCAGTTAAGAAGAAGGAAAAAAACAAAAAGTCAAAAGCTTGATATCTGGTTTTGATGTTTTTGTGTGTGTGTGATTCCTTTTCTGTTTGAAGACCCAGCAAGTTGCAACCATCTGGGAAAACCCAGAAGGCTTGATCAAAACCCAGAAGGCTTGATCAAAACACTTTTGCAGAGAAAAGCAGGACAAAAATCCTCCACGGTGATGTAAGAAGATCGTATGAGTTATTTGTACCGATCGTCAGTGCACTGCAGTCACTGATGCCAAAGGTGCCACAACGAGCTACTAGATATAGGGGGAAGTTTAGATTTTCACACAAGAGCATGTTAGTTTAGAAATGTTTTCCCTGAATAAACAAAACAATCGTTTTAAAAAGCATTTAGTTATTAATCAGTTAATCAAAAAATAATAATAAAAAATCTGCAGACACTTTAAATGGAGAAAATTATTTTACAGAAGCATATTATTTTCAGAAAACCTTGTGTTTCACTTTTTTTGTATTTTTGTTCCCATAAATAAATATCAGTGTTTGAACTAACTGACTGGTATAAAAGCTGTCAGATTAAATAACCAAATAACCTCAGGAATGTAGATAATGTTGACTACAGCTACTTTTTTTTTTGATAGAAAAAAAATCAACTGGCATACATTCCCTGACAGTCTATCCAGAGACCAGCAGGCACTAATAGAAAAGAGCCTTAAGAGTACGTTATCAAAAGTAAAGCACGGTGGTGGCTGCATCATGCTGGGAGTCCGTCTTATTACAAATGGAATCAGTGTATTGCATAAGGTGAATTGTGGCCTTTGAATCCTTGAAATTGACCTCAAATCAACAGAAAGAAAGTTGAGAATTAATCATTCAAAGACCAAAACTGATGTGGTGATGAATGTATTTTCTGTCTGGAAATTTATAAAAAGCCACTAGAAATGTTTTCAATTTTTTTGAAAAAGAAAATGCATTTTTTTTTCTGTGATTTTTTTTATTTTTTATGCACTGAGCTGTTAAGCAAAGGCATGTTTAGTTTTTACTCATTTAAATTAACTTCAAATGAAACATAAATCAATTTCTTTGTTGTCATTTTACCATCAATGCACAATTATATATAAAAAAAACTGTTTTTATGTTTTGCTTGTAAGCAGATTCTGAATTTACAGTTGACATTATTGTGACTGCTGTTTTTGGACTCATTTAAACCCGATTAATGGTTTCTCTCTTCACCAGACGCCCAAGCCTCCTTTGTTATGTCCTGCTCCTTGATTATAGAGCCAGACTGTTGACCGTCAGTAGCCTTGGCCCAAAGTGCAGCTAGAGGTGATCTAAACTGTCCCTGCTGACGTGAACGTCTCCATCGGTGCGTGTTTACTCTAAGACCTGTGGTCAGTCTTTGGCAGCCCCGACTAAATTGGATTGTTCTAGATTCCAGATGGCATGGAGACTGTTTTGGCTTTCATTATATGAGAAGAAGTACGTGGTGGAGACTGGTCCATTAATCACAAGAAAGAGTCCCAACGCGTCCTGAATGATATTAACTTTGTGTAGATTTGAAGCGAAAATATACACCACAAACTGTTTTTGTACAAGCGTCAATGCAGTAAACTCCATCTCTATCAATCAGAGTAATATTGAATTTTAAACATCTCCTAGGGTCAGATCAGCAGTGATCGCCAATTTCTTGACATTTTAAAGTTGTGTTTTCATAAAAATTACATCTTCTGCATTATTTTGGGACATTGTCGCTGAAAGTTTATCATGATTTCTGATGCTAAATCAGAAATCATGATAAACTTAACACAAGTGGTTTTGAAGCAATTCTTTTAGTTTTCCCTTTTTGTTGTTTAATGCATCTCCAGTCTGTGTAATATGTTGGTATAGATATTTTGCTCACCTGAATCTTGTCTCTGACTCGCTCCCGACCCCATTGGGCTGTTAAAAAGTGCGTACATGTCCACACACATGACGTTCACATGCTGCCTGGTCTACAGGAAGACAGACACAGCTCGCATTCATGCCGACCTCCCCGCTCCCTCAGTCCGAGTGAGGAACGACTAATCCTGCAGAGTCTCTTAAGGCAATGTTAAGAGATCCTGGATTTAAAGGGCAAATCTTGTTTAGGAGTGAGCACAGAAACGCCACCTTGCTTCCAGGAATGCAGGAAAGCTGTGAACAGTGATGTCTCTCCAAGGTTTGGCCAACCCATCCAACCTTAAATAAATCATATTTAGTTCATACGAACCTTAGTCATCTTCTTTAATCAAACTCTTTGCTGGCCTCATCTGGCCATCCCTATGAAAGTTTTCCGGGGGCCTCACTGTGTAAATAATAAAAAAAAATCCCTTAAACTTTCTATGACGCCATTTTGAATGATGAATATTGTGATTTTATGTCACTGTCATCTACAGAAGTCACAATATCTATCTTAAACTGTAATTATTTCAACTTAGTAAATTCTGACCTGAAATTAAACCCATTTCAGAAAACAAGCATTAAAATCCAACTGAATGTAAACCATAATTATCCACATAAGTGAGCTTTACTATTGTATTATTACCTCTTTCTTTTTGTTGCTTTTTGTTGCTATTGCTACTAATAAGAATTGAGACAGAAGTATTGGCAGATATAAAGCACTTGCACAGATTCTTTTTTCCATTAAATATTGCCATAAATCGTACATATTCTATGAAAAATTATACTTTTGAATTAAATTTCAATTAAGTGGGCTAAATAATTTACACCCTTCACAATAATCAATAGAAAATTAAGTCCAACTGTCATTTGCATAATTTTCAGATTAAACATATTCATCCTTTTTCCCGGGCGCTAATCTCCAGCGGTCAATGGGCGAGAGGCGGGGTTCACCCTGGACAGGTCGCCAGTCCATCGCAGTAAACGTATTCGTTAAAAGATTTGATTTTTCTCATTTGGAAATGTGTCCTTGTGCAATAAACTCTGATGGCCGTCAAGTCATGGCTTTTATTTCTTGACAAAATTCCCGAAACAACGAGTCGTGAGAAAGAAACCCGACAAACGGATGAGCGTGAACACCCAACAAGAGAATCAATTTTACAAGTTTATAATCCAGCAACTAATGCATCCACTTCCATCAGCGCAGGATTTACAAGTAGTTACTGGGATTACGGTGCATTAAAAAGCTAAAATCAAGGATCAAGGATTTGAAATCACTTTCCTTAAGAGACCAAAATTGGTCAAACATCCAGAGAAAGATAATACGCTCATGAAGAACAGCATGAACAGATGTTTGTTTATTCTGTCCTGTGCTTCCCTCTTATTTGTAACAGCCGGCCAGCTGAGCCTGATGTTGGGATTACAAGGATTCACTCGCCCAACGGCGAAGGTACTCCAACTCTTCTTCATCATCGTCCTCATCCTCGTCTTCAGCACCGTCTTGAACCCCGTCCTCAACCTCGTTTTCTTCCTCGTCTTCTTCCATCGCACCTTTGGTAAAACAAAACAGCAACTTGAGAATTCAAGTTGTATCACAAGGGAACTTTGTTGACTAAAAAAAAAAAAAAGGACAAATATTTTTTTACCAGGACGAGAAGGTGAAGCCGCGGACATCACTGGAGAAGGATGGACTTTATCCTCTTTTCTGCTGGCCTGCAAGAGACTCTCATCCAGAGTTTTTTTAAGTCTCTCCAGCTCCGCCAGCAGCTCATCCTGATGAAGGAAAACTCACGTTTTCATTCAAGGACCCAAGAAAATCCACTGACTGAAGCAAATTGATAGTTCTTTTGGACTTTCTCTGCTTTTCACTTATGCTTAGTCCAGTTGTCGTACTGCGTACAGTGCAAGTCCCTGACTAAATGTAGCGTAAAAGCAGCTGAAATCCAAAAGAAAACTTTTAATCCCATCTAGAAAACGACTCTGACACAAATGTCCGAGTCCCTGAAAGCAAATATAAACAAATTAGGGACTTTTAAACTGTACTGTAATTGTTTTTTTTTTTAGAGTAATTCACAAAACACTCTTTGGCATGAATAAACACATGCCCCAAGAGATGCCACAATCTGGAAAAATCCCTTCCAACTCCTCCAATTTACAAAAAAAACTACAAGTTGTCCTAAAACACCTCAACAAATTCGACCTGGTCCAACTCCTGGTTTTCACCCTTGTAGAGATTGCCTGACACCTCGGTCATATCATCTTCCAGTTTGATGCCCTTTATCATGTCGTTCACTTCAGTCATTTCCCTGCAAAGCAGCAAAAAATGGTACAGTCCAAGTTCCAATTACCGTATTCATAAAAAAACTGTGTTATAATAAAAAATTAAATAAAAATGATCCATTTTACATATTTATACATGTATCTATGTAGAGTTTCTGGGGTATCGCAAACTCTCATTCAATTTCACCCTGTAAGCAACAAGTGTTTTTGAATTGGGCTAAATTGATTTTGGTTTATTCTAAGATTTAAAAAAAACAAAAAAACAAAAAAAAAAAACAACAACAATGGGACGCAAGAATCGGTGGTGCATTTTTTTAAAGAGATTATTGTTTCTATTTATATTCCCACTTTTTATTATTGTTTCATTTTATTTTATTGCAACATTTCGCTCAATGTGTACGTTTTAAATGTACAACTGAATGACAAAGTTTGTCAATGCCGAGATTAAATTAACATTCAATACCTAAGGCTGAGACTTTCCACTCTCTTCTCAACGTGGTTTCAAGAATATTTGTACATGTACAGACAAACCCAATGTTGAAAACGTAATTTTCTTGAGATTATTCTTACCTAATTCAACAGATGTATAGATTATTGATAATATTGTCCTTCTTACTTGTTTTTGGAAGCAGACTTTGTGGCCTTAACAGCATGGTCAACATACCGCTGATGTTTCTCATACCATCTCTTCCTTCTCAGAGCATGCAGAGCAGCTGGCAAAACAATAAATAAATAAATGCGTAAATAATACAGAAACTGTTCTGACGTTTGAAAGATGTGCAAATGGTAATCTTGTCTCGTTCAAACTTTCGAAGTTTTCTTGAGAAAACAGAGCGTCTTCAGTCAGAGGTTTCTTCACATTCGTTGTGATGCAGGCTGCTACAAGAGATCTTTCCTGCCAACATTAACTCTTTGGAGAATCTGAATGAAGTATTGTTTGAATTTGAACACAATTTTTTCCACTTTTTGTGAATGTATAAATGGTAGCTAGATCATGAGTAAAATTTCAGAACAATTACTTGTCTACTATAATGTCAAAATGCATAAATTATATTCTTTATTTAGTCAATATTTGAATGCAAACAGTTTCCAAGGAAACGCTCAAGGTCTGTCACAGTTCATTCATTAACACTGAAACTTACCTCTACCTATTAAAAGTGTACAAGTAAATGAAATATCGTCCCTATTCAAATATGTACTTCACCATTTACCCAAAGCTCGCGCTATAGCGAGCTAGCTTATTAGCTGGATTCTAGCTAGCTAACTCTTTTCAATGACTGTTTTAAATTATTAGTATTTGATAATACATTATCATAAACGGGTTTTTTTTTTTAATTCATGTTTACATTTTTACATTTCGTGGAAGGTGCCTCCTCACCTCGTCTATTTGGTCCACAGTGTTTCTTGGCGCACAAGAGGTCGAGGTCCATGTTTGTTTCAGGTTAGTTTTCAGCAACGTCCCTCCGCCCGGATGCTAACCGCTCCCTTCCGCACCAAGATGGCAGCCACACGCTTTTTCGAGACAAATTAGTAGCTCGAGGTGCCGGTGATTGTTTCTGGTGCACCGGACCAACTCTTCAGATTGTAAATGTCAGGTAAGTGCCAGTCAGAAGACCAGAGGAGGGACAGCAGGCTCGGTTCGTGGCCGCTGCAGATGTTTCTTCCTCTGAGTTCAGAAGAAAACATTCTCTAACGGCGCAGCTAGCAACAGACGAACCTTCAGTATGGAAACCCGTTACGGCCAATCTATTAAAAAATGTAATACATTATCTCATGATCATGAGATACTACCTCAAAATAATGACACACTATCTCATAATCATGAGATACTACCTCATTATCATGAGATGGCATGTCATAATGGGATACTATGTCATCATTACAACATACCATGTCATCATTATAATGACAGACATGCTATGTTATCATTGTAATTACAGCCATACCATGTCATCATTGTAATGACAGACATACTATGTCATCATTGTAATGACAGACATACTATGTCATCGTTATAATGACAGACATACTATGTAATCATTGTAATGACAGACATACCATGTCATCATTGTAATGACAGACATACTATGTCATCATTGTAATGACAGACATACTATGTCATCATTGTAATTACAGCCATACCATGTCATCATTGTAATGACAGACATACTATGTCATCATTGTAATGACAGACATACTATGTCATCATTGTAATGACAGACATACTATGTCATCATTGTAATGACAGACATACTATGTCATCATTGTAATGACAGACATACTATGTCATCATTGTAATGACAGACATACTATGTCATCATTGTAATGACAGACATACTGTCATCATTGTAATGACAGACATACTATGTCATCCTTATAATGACAGACATACCATGTCATCATTATAATGACAGACATACTATGTCATCATTGTAATGACAGACATACTATGTCATCATTGTAATGACAGACATACTATGTCATCATTACAACATACCATGTCATCATTATAATGACAGACATGCTATGTCATCATTGTAATTACAGCCATACCATGTCATCATTGTAATGACAGACATACTATGTCATCATTGTAATGACAGACATACTATGTCATCATTATAATGACAGACATACTATGTCATCATTGTAATGACAGACATACGATGTCATCATTATAATGACAGACATACTATGTCATCATTATAATGACAGACATTATGTCATCATTATAATGACAGACATACTATGTCATCATTATAATGACAGACATACCATGTCATCATTATAATGACAGACATACTATGTCATCATTGTAATGACAGACATACTATGTCATCATTATAATGACAGACATACTATGTGATGAGATTATGAGATACTATGTCATTATTTTTATATACTATCTCATTATAAGGAGATTTATTTTTTTTAACAGATTGGCAGAAATGGGCTTCCATACTTCAGAGACCAGATGATTGAAATTAAAACAGTTTGAGCAACTTCTTATCGTGGACTATTTTTGGTAAATATCTTCTAAAAAGCAAGACCGATGCACTTTTTCAAACTGTTTTGGTTTCCCTCGTTTTCATCAGAGTTGACATTACACACAAACCATTTGTTTTTTTCATTTTTTTCTTTTACACTGATTATTTATTTAGGGGTTTAATTAGGATTTTCAACTTTGATTGTAGTGTTTACAATATTAAATCATTTTTAACACCATATTCTGCCAAAAATATACATTTTGTTCTCATTTTAATCCATCAAATACTACAAAATAAAATGAAATTTAGAAGACCACATAATCACTGTTATGCTTTTGTTTTTGTATTTGAGGGATATTGCATATATTTCCAATACACCCAAAACAAATGTTATTCTATTTTCATGGCTATATTGAGATACAAGGGAGAATATTTAAGTTTTTTGTCTCTTTTCTCGTGAACTGAGTAAATTACTCCGTTGATATGATTTTGTTGCCCAATATTAGAGGGACAAGAGACAAGAATGGCCATCATAAACAAAATGTTTTCTCAGTCATGGCTCCTGCCTAAAGCTTCTTTTCTTTTTAAAAGTGAATACATTTTTTTAGCCAAAAATATTTATAAATTAATAAATAAATAACTTCTGAATAACTGTTAAAGGCCAAACAAGGTAAATTATAAAATATATCAATGTTTTATAACAAAATTCTGTTGTACATGGAAATACGGAAACGGATAAATGAACCTCAGGTCTGCCAATAACCCACTTTATAAAAAAAAAAGCTTAAATGAACAACTGCATCACAATGACTTTTTTACTTATTTAAAACATTTTATTCAAATTATTTTGGGTTTTAAAGATATAATTTGGTAAAACAGAACAACTGTAACAGAACAGGTTGCAGTCAGATGGTTAAAACATTCACGTTTCGAGAAGTTATTCTCTCTTCCACGGATTCAATTCAGTCAAAGTTAATAAAATCAGTCGACTAAAATTTGTAGGAAATGGCTTTAGAAAAATATTCATATGAAAGCCAATATGTTTGAGAACAATCTTGAAATGAAATGAACTAAAAGATCAAATATACAATAGTAAACAACAATTTTTTTTTTTAATAAAAAACTCTTTGGTCTTTTCTGGATAAATCAGTAATTGTACTTAAACGTGGATTAGCACAGCAACTTTCTAGTCATTGGCTCCCCCCCCCCAAAAAAAATCAGAGCCAAATAAAAAAGATTTGAAGTGACAAAAAGGTGGATATGCTTTTGTAACTGGCCTCAGGATGATGATGATGATGTGATTAATCTAAAACAAGCAGGTGCTGTAAAGAGTGACCTTATGGCTGATTTCCTGCAGCAGCTTCTTCACTGCTGCCTCCATTTCAACCAGCTGTTCAGCTTTCGACTCAAGAGTTCGCTGATTGTCATCGTACGACTTTTCCAGATCTGAAACCAGAATGGTTGACATTTTTTTTATGTTACGTTTTTTTTATGGTTACGTTTTTTTTATGTTCACGTCGGTGCAAGACTTGCACCAAATATCTCCGAAACAAAGTTTGATTAAAAATGTTGACATCTCATATTTCTTTTCAAAGTACAAAATAAAGAAGTAATATACCCCATTTGTAAGAAAATCCCTTACAACCAAGAGATTAGAGAATTCAATAATTCATTTGGTTAAAATAAATAAATAAATTCGTACATATTTGTAACTTATCCTTTTCAACTGGAAGATTTTGAATAGATTTCACTTTATGAAAACAGTGAAAAGCATTTTAAATTAGCAACCCATGTCATTACGTCCTCCGCTTTTAAAATGAGAGAAATTATTTGTTGCCCGATTAGATCAACAAACAGAACATTTTATGTATAAATCAATTTGGGTTTTGCAACAATCATTACACCTCTACATGTTTGAAGAAAAATCTGCTGGAATAGACAAAAAACATTATTTTAGAAATATATTTGTAGACTTCAAAAAAAAAGTCCACAAATATATTTGTAGTTCAGCAAATATGCTATTAGAGGACTGATACATGACTGCTCTCCAGTTAATTAGAAAAATGAAACGTTAGACCTGATTTATGTATAAACCGTGGTTTTGGTCACTCATTGGTCCAAAACCTTTAATCTTATACATCGATAATTTTTCTTCCACCACTTTTCTTTGCAGATGACGCCACTTGTTGTATAGTACTGAACATTTGACAGAACCAAAGAGAGTAGATTTTTTTTTCTTTTAATAATAAAATAGAACAAGGTGTCAAAGTATACTGAAATGTATTGACTCAGTAGAGTGCTGGATAAATTTTTTCATATCATTTTTGTGAAATTACCTTTCAGTAGCTGCAGCTTGTCGCTGGCTTGCAGCAGCAGCTGTTTGGCCTGGTTCTGCAGTGACTCTGCCCTCTTCTTAGCGTCGGCCACACCCCCCGCTTTCTGATCTATCAGCTGTTCTACTGTGCTGTACTTCTGCTTCACCTCCGACTCAAACTCCTAAAACACGCACAAGGACATCAGAACAGCAGAGGCAGGATTGCAGAAAAGACTAAACTGTCAGACGGGTGAGCCCACCTTTTTGACCTCCTCCGCGATCCTTCCGATGTCTGCGGCTTCCTGATTGGCCAGTTCGGTTCTCTGAGTGACGTTTGCGGATCTATCGGCGAGCAGCTTCACGTCCTGCTCGAGCCTCTGCAGCCTCTGGGTGGCGTTGTCCAGCTTCGACTCTGCATCTGCCGTCTCCGTCTCTACCTGAAAACACAATGTGTGCTTTTGTTTTAATCAGATCTGACGTCAAGGTACGATGGGGCGAATATCGATGGCGGCTGCCACTGACGGAGGAGAGCAGCTTGGTGGTGGTCTGGATGTCGGAGGCGGCCTGCTGGATGGCGCTGCTGGCAGCTGTGTGAGCTCTCTGAGCTTCTTCCAGAGCTTCTTTCACTTTCTCTACAGAGTCCTTTGTATCCGTCGCCTGCTTACTAACAACAACAGAAAAGTCTATTTAATATCTACCTGAAACAAATATACCGTGTATATCCTGGTGTCTTTTCACTAAGGTTTCTGAGAAATCTTTAAAGTGGGGCACCTGGCTTGGCGGGCCTGGTCCAGCAGACTCTCTGCCCTCTGAATGTCGTCGGCGCTCTGCTGTAAGATTGCCTCCACGTTTCCCAGCTCTCCCACCTTCTGTCGGATCTCATCCGTTAGGTTCTGTAGCTGAGCCGGTGTGGTCGGCATCTGCATGGCCAGAACTTCATTTGCCACCAGTTCGATGCTCTCCAGGTCTGCAGCGTCCTCTGAAAAGGCCACAGGAGTTTATATTCGACCAAAGCTTTTTAGTTTTGTCTCCAAGTAGCTTGTTTGCCTAAAAATGGTGTTGCAAGGTCTGGTTTTGAACACCAGGAGTACCTAGAGATCTTGCTTTAAAGCAGGGGAAACATACGTGTGAGGAAGTCTTTGATCTGTCTGATCAAGCTTCGCAGCTCCTCGTTGCTCTGGTCAACCTTGCGCTTGGTTCTGTTGGTCTTCATCAGGACATTCTGGGCGCTGAGCTTCGCCTCGTCTGCCTGCAGTTTCACCTCCAACACCTGAGGAGAGACTACAGCTGAAGACAGTCCTCACGGTTCAGCTCAGACCACAAACCTGGACTCCAGAGACCTACCATGTTGGAGAGCTTCTCCACCTCTGCCATGGCACTGATGATTTCCTGCTCGGCCTCCTGAGTCTTCAGCAGGATGCTGTTGGCTGCCGTCACCGCACCATCACATCCTTCTCCTCCGCATTTGGGCTGACCTTCAGGGTCCACACAGCCCAGTCCTCCGCAGGGCGAAGACCAGCAGGAGTCTTGGCCAGAAGATGGACTGCCACACGTCTGCAAAACCCAGGACATTAAAAACAACAACAAAACAATAAAATGCTAAATCTGGTGAAAGACAAGGACCTTCTGAATAAAATACAGAAATGAGCAGCAGGATTGTAAAGGTTTGATTATGGAGTTGACCCCACCAGTCTGAAGAAATCCAAAATATCTTAAAGTAATATATCACTGTAAAAAAGACACTGCTTTTATTTGTAACACAACTGTATAAATCAGACTGTACAATCTGCAGATGCTTCACCTTATAGCTGATTACTGATAGGTCCAAAGTCTCCATCTCTCCAGCCAGGTTGTCCAGCTTCTGAGCATGCTCAGACTGTCTCTCCAGAAACTCCTCCCTGGTTTGGTTCATTTTGTCTTCTGTGAGCTGCCGTAGGGCAGCAGAAGATTCAACTGGGCTGCCGGCGCTGATGGTTGAGGCATTTGCTCGCGCCTCGGCTGCTTGAGACTGCAGGAAGTACTTGGTGACGCTGTCTGTTGCTCCTGGTAACAGAAAGACTTTATATTGTGTAGATCTGAGAGGATCATCTTCTTGCTTATGACAAAAGAACTGGTCCATACTGATGCGCTTTTGGTACAAGTTATGACAATCGTAAGGAAAAAACGAGGTCTGAAATGCCATTCCCTCCTGCTAGCTGAATTTGTTGCTTCTTCACTGAGAAACCAACCATAGAAAAAACAGAACTAATTTTCTGAAATGAAATCAATTCAGTGATTAACCTGCAGGGGGAGACACAGCAAAGGGATCTGATCCAGTCTAAATATAACTTTATGTTGCAAAACCCTGTTAATCAGGGAATGACAGCATTTAAAGTTATTTAATTTACCCGGTTCTGATTGCCAAAGAAATTGCCGTCCATTTCTCATAAGGTTTAGTGCTTTAATTTTGAAAGGATCATGTTCAGTAACTCTCTACAAGCTGTGAGCTGCCTGTCTTTACCTCTGATGTCAGAGTTCTTGATGAACTCCACTTGGTCCATCAGCTCCTGTACCGTTCGCTCCAGTTTCTGAGCATCCGACGTTACAGAGTCCAGTTGGGTTTTAATGCCAGAGTCCTGCTCAGCCACTAGATCCAGAGTCTCCTGGGTGTTGTTCATGGTCTGGCTCAAAGCTGCCATCAGGTCGCTGAGACACAAACGGAGATCAGAGTCCACCTCCAAATGGGACATTTTCACATCAGGACCCGTCTGACCTACCTGGCCTGTTGCAGCAGGTTCTGGACCTCAGTCAGAGGCTGCGAGGCCGGATCTTGGTCCAAGATGCTCTGAATGTCTGCAGCACTTCTCTCCATGCTCTCTATAGACTTCCTGTACGGTCCGCTGAGTCCACTGGCTTTAATGGAGTTGACCTTGTTGACCAGTCGGTGTGTCTGATTGGTCAGCTGACCGATGATGCCGTCCCACTCTGAGAAACACTGGTGGCACCGATGGCAGTCTGGGAAGGTCCCGTGGAAGCCGCGGGCGCAGACGTCGCAGCGAGGCCCGGCCACGCCCTCCACGCAGACGCAGTGGCCGCTCACTTTGTTGCACTGCGGCTCCAAGGTGCCGCGAGGGTCACAGTCGCATGCTGTGGAGACAAACGGCCGTGACTTTATTCTGAAAAGCTGAAATCCACTAGTTTCTCATATAACTCCACCTACTTCAAAGTTAAAAGAGGAAGAAAAAGCTAATAACACGAGGAGTTGAGCAACACTGGAAGTACTGATCTGTGGTTCCCCAAGGTGGAAATACGCAAGAGTCAATTAAGAGTCGGAAACTTTGTGCATTTTTCTCTTTTTAATAATCGTCAATAAATTAAACAAGTAACATTTTAATGAAACAAAATAAACAGGTTTGAGAAAGGGCCGCGGTAGTTTGAGTTTGGATGTGCTGTTTTCCTAGAGTGACCAACGCAACCACACCGGCTGAGGAACGGGACGGCATCCCACAGCACTGTGACCGGTGACCACACCCTGCGCCATGTTTTGTCTGACTGGCTTTTCTGTATCTGGTTCAAATTAAGAAACGGCTGCTTTCAGATGCAGAAACTAACAGCGACAAACCGGGACTTTTCTATTCCAATCTTCCGTCGAAAACGAAAAACCCAAGAAAGCACTGCTGACTCTCACAAAGTCTAGGTTTTTAGGTCTTTTTAATAATATTTTCCTGCAACACTTGTGTCGTCCTGCTGCAGCTATCTTCATACTTGTAATTCTTCCTTTTCATCCTTCCATCCTACAGAACCGGCTCCGTCACTTTTTGGTGTGAAGGACCGACTGAACGTCTTTGCGTATTTTTGAGTTTTGTGGCGGTTCTGATCAGCCTGGTCCCGTTTACATGGAGCAAAAATATTTGAAGCTTGTTGCACATCTGGATGTAATCCGACTGCAGCAGAGAGGCTCTTTGAGCACAGAAATTCCCACAAAGTAGTTTGGGTTATTTTTTTTTTTCCGAGCAATTAGAAATGCATCTGAACTCTGGATTTCTGGTTTTTGGATTTTGGGGGCAAAAGTCTTGAACACATAAAGTTAGGGATATAAGTATTTGAGCCCTTGCTGATTTTAGATTTGTTTTAATGCACACTGAGAATATAAACAATAATTCAGAAAAAAATCCACTATACAAGACTTCATAATTGGTTTGTGTGTCATTATGGGATTTCAATCCACTCCTCTTCAGAGAAACTCTAAATCATGTTTGAATCTTCAGCACTTTTTGCAGATGTTCATCATACCACAGTCTGGAGACTCGCTATATGTTCTTCTTCTTTTGCCACAGCATTGCTGTCTTAGCAGTGGATCTAAATTTATTGCTATGTTTTTAGCACTCATCCATGACTCTTATTTACCGTTTTCATCCTAGATTTCACAGAAAACATTCGTTTGCCTCCAAAAATGGAAGAGTTGAAGAATTTCCCCACTTCCTCTCATATCTCCTCTGGTCATTTAGGAAACCTAAGACATTATTTGCACAATTTAAATTGACTGAACTATGTGACAAAATAGTTAATCTAAGCGAGTCTGAACTCTGTTTCTGGTTGCACTTATTTCACTCGCATGCAAACTCCTTTTTACCTTGCATAAAACAATAATGACAAAAATTGAAAAATAATTTTTTTTCCCTCTCAAAAATGATATAGTCCTTTGTTTTGTAGGTGTTATGAACAATTCAGAAATTCCGCAGCACAGGAAGCATAAAACCAGATTTTCTAGAAACACAAGCCAGACTGATCTACTTCCAGTGAAACTCACCATGACACTGGACTTCAGGGTCTCCCCAGAACAGCTCTCGGCACTCGTTACACGTTCTTCCTCCAAAACCAGGATGGCAGGAGCACTGACCGCTGATCTGAGGGAAATCAACCGTCTCCATTAATATTCGGTCACTTCATCAAGCAGAAGCTGTTTGTGCTGAGAGACCCTTCTGTAAATGTGATAAAAGTTCATCAGAAGGCTACTAGTCATTCATGTTGGACTCCAGAAGTTAGCGAGCCGACCCTCAGGATGAGATGATGGAAATATTTGAGGCTTAATTAAAAGTCTGACAAATGAGAGCAAAGCTTCAGTCTGAATTTTCCTCAGTGAAACAGAAAAGCCCTTCACCTCGTTACAGGTGGTCCCGTACGAATGCTCGGTGTTGCAGTCGCAGCTCTGACAGCCGGCGCCGCCCGCCATGTTCCAGGTGTCGGGCGCACAGCGGTCACAGTGTTGACCAATCACGTTGGGTCTGCAGTGGCACTGGCCGCTGCTGCGGTCGCAGTGGCAGTCGGTGGAGGACTGGCAGCTGGACTCGTCGCTGCCCAGCTGATTACAGACACACTCTGAGATGGCAAAGCAGAATTATGGACAGTTCATCAGCAACTAAACAACCTTGCAGCTGAATTTTCAATTTTTAAGTTAATTTTTTTTTTCCACTTTATGTCTTCTGAATTTCACTGACCTCTGGGTACAGAGTCAGTTTCCTAATCAAAAAAGATATATCTTATCTGAATATTGTTTGCAATTTAGTGGCGACAATAACCCTTTGTGTCACAGAATACATTTGATATTTTTCATGTTCAACCAGTCCATACTGGATTTTTACCTCCTGGTTTTCAGTGGTTCTGTCTCAGTTATACTGGTTTCTCTGTGCTGTGAGGTGTGAAGGAGGTTTTCGCTTTCACTCACTCCTGCAGTCCTGAACCAAGGCGTTGCCGTAGTAACCCAGTTTGCAGTTCTGGCAGGACGGACCCTCGCTGTGGTGCAGACAGCGCAGGCACTCGCCGGTTCTGGCGTCACAGGACTCCGGGTCCAGCATGTCGATGTTGCTGTGGCACTGGCACGGGAGACACTGGCCACCCGCCTCGTCGGGGTTTCCATAGTAGCCAGGTGAACACTGATCACAGCGAGCACCTGCAGAGCACGGCAGGTTTGGTTAACAGCTTCCTTGATCTCTGCAGAGTTTTAAAATGGGCTCAAGATCACATACTGTAAAGCAAAAATTAACTCCAACATAATTATTTTATTATGCAAGAGAACAAAATTTGATGAAGTTTGGAAAATAAATCCAAAATACATCATCATCACCTTCTGAGCTTAACGTTATATTCAGTCGAATATTTTTCAGTTTATGAAAGCGCAGACGATGACGTCATGGCTTTGAGGTTTGTTTTAATGGAGGAACACCCAATGACAAACATCTGCTTCCTTGTGCAGCTGTTTTAGTTTTTGCTTCATGTGTCAAGAGATAAAAGCTTAAACGTAGCCCAGATTCACAGAGAGAATTACAAGTCTGTTTATCCTCGGCTGGAGCGACCCAGGCCCTTTAGGACATCTCCTCACCTATAGTACGAGGAAATATCTTCATATTATTTCCTTGCATTAGTGGAACCAATACTTAGAAATATTAAACAAAATTACATCAATCTCCTATACGTTACTGAAAAGCTTCTTGAGTTTTTTCATATTTTAAGTGAACTAAGACGTTTACACTCGAAACTAGACCAAAAATCCTTGGTACAATTTGCATTGTATTTTTTGCAGTGTATATCATACCAATGTTATTATGGCTCTTGATTTTAATCTTATAGGAGTAGCAAACAAGCAAAGATGATGCAATTAATTTACAATTTGAGATGGAGAGTGGCATTTACTGTAAGTGCGGCATATTAAGTTAAGTATTTGAATTTTTTGGAGATAAAAATTGAATTTACAGTAAACAAGTTACCAAATTTGCTGTCTTTTGCTTTTAAAATTTGGAACAGAAAGTGTAAACGGTGTAAAATGTGCAATCATTACACTACCACCAGGTGGTATTACCTACATTATCCAGAGCAAAACAAGTATTAACATGGCGAGAAACGCCATGCTGTGAGGAAGAAGCCATTTCTAAAACAACAAGGAAAAGCCACATAACATCTTGCAAACACTCTTACAGAGAAAGACCTTCAGAGGAAGATGATGAAAACATCCAAACAGATCGGTGCACTTCACAAAGTACATATCATGAGGAAAGAACACGAGGTAAAAATGACCAGGGAAATTAAAGAAATTAATTTAAAGAAAAGCGTAAAAAACTAAATTCTCAACAAAAAAAACCCCAAAACATCTGATTGTGTTTGGATTTAGTAAATAGAAATCTTGTGGTTGAGTTGAACTAAAACAGGTTTAATCTGATTTAAAGTTATCCATCCATTCATACGGGGTATGTAAACATCTGGTTTCAGTTGTATTTGATGGTAAAGCTGATCAATATTACTCTGGTCAACTTTGCAGGCCAGAGTAAAGCAACCTGCCAGAAGCGATGACTTTGGGTCAGACATGCAGACATTTAATTCCCTCTCTCAGCCCGTGTTTCTCCTGTCAGACGAAAACAAAGAAAGTTGGTGACTCATGTGCCTGTCAGCAGCTGATTTCCCCCTGAACATCTTATTTCCTGCTTTAATAACAGACCTGACATCTCAACATGTCCCCCACTCTCAGAGTTTCCATCGGGCTGAATAACAGAGCAGCTTCTCCTCAAATTAAAAGCTTCTCATGTGTGCAGCAGAGACCGTAAGTCAGGATCATAAATTGATCCTCAGAGGAACATCTGGAGCGCAGAGCTGGTCCCTCCTCTGTAACACAAGAATTAATGGACCAGCTAGAAAGTCAAGCATGAACTGCACGTATAAAACAGAGAAGAGAGGAGCAACGCCGAGATTCAAACACGTGTATTAAAGTTCTTGTGACCAATAGGAGGTTCTGCCGCCGGACTTTGGATTTCATCCTGAACAACCCAGCTAGTGGTCACGTGACTCCCCGCCCTGTCTGGAAGCAGTCGCTGGTCAGACTGGGAGGATGTTTATGAACCTCCTGGATGTTTGTGGTGTGTGATGAACTGACTGAGGCCACAAATAAACACAGGTCTCTCACAGATGCACCGTGATGCTTTCAAGCTGCGGCCAGAAAATCAGAGCGCTGACAATCTGTGTTCAAGCATGAACCGGTGAGCCGAGGTTCCCTGATCCACCTTGTGACTGTGACAGGTTCTGAAATGTTTAGCAGATTTGTCTGATAATAACCGGGCTTTAGATTTATGATTCTGTTCTGAACCAAGTGCTAGACACTTGTTTTAGTTTTGTGAAAACTATAATAAAATGCATTTATGAAACAAAGACATTTATAAATGTATTCCTCTGGTCCATAAAGCTGCAGGAACAGAAGATCCCCATGAAGCTCCAGAGTGTTTTTTTCCAAGCAGATTGTTTTTAGTCTCGATGCTGAGAGCATCAATATTTCTGACTTTCTCTGTTTCAGTTTGGCAAAATTTTGACTCTGTTAATGCATTATTTGGTGGAAACCAAAATAATTTTTCCTGATATTTTCCTTCAAATATATAAAATACTCTTCATGAATTCAGAGAATTATCTAGATTGTGTGGTGATGACTGTAGCGTGCTGTATCTTACATTTCAAATGCATGTCTTCAAAAAGTAGAGAAGGAATTTAGTTTTCACACAATATTTCTCGGTTTAGAAGAGCAGAGGAGAGGCACAAAATTCAGAGACATTTAGAAAATTATTCTGTGTGGAGTTCCCCGACAGATTTGGACAAACTTGGAGAAAGTTTTAAGTTCTGTGTGTTTGTTCCGACAGAGTGAATAAAGTTCCCACCTTTGAATCCTGGGTTGCAAACACACACAACCTGCTCCGAGGTGTCGCTACGGTAACAACTCCCCGCAAACTGCCGCAAACTGTTTGGGCCGTCGGGACACAAACACGGGCGACAGTGGTCACCTGAGCCCAGAACCGGGTCGCCGTAGTAACCATCCAGACACCTGAACGGGTGGGAAAGAGATCCGTGAGGTCGGATGGAACTGATCGGAGATCAAATCGTGTCGCCCGGGCGCACCTGTCGCAGCTGTGCCCGGTGGTGTGATCCCTGCAGGTGGTGCAGCGGCCGGTGGCGGCGTCGCAGCTCTCCGCGTGTCCGTTGCAGGAGCAGGGTCGGCAGGTCGGGAAGCCCCAGTGACCCGGCAGGCAGCGGTCGCACTGCCGACCGTAGGCGCCGGCGACGCAGACGCACTGACCGCTCAGCTGATCGCAGATCGGACTCTGGGAGCCCTGAGGGTCGCATGCACACTCTGCAAAACGCACAACAACATCAGGAAGTCCATCCACACCGCAAAGCATAGCAAAACATATGTCACTAATATACTAGTGTACTAACATATTTATCAAACTCAAAAGTTACTTGCAATTACTTCCTGTTTTCAACAATAGAAATCATCAACTTATAGCAAACGCCTATATCTCACTGGAAAGTATTGCGTTAGTACATATGTATAAACATATGATATAACATATTAGTACATATGTTGTATTAACATATTAGATCACTTGAATTAAGACAGAACTAACTTGCAAGTAACTTTTCAAGCAATATATAGGAGCTTGTTTAAGTCAATAATTCCTTAATATAAATAAAAAGTATTAGTTTCACTGGAAGATTATTTCACTTATAGCAAAACAATTTTCCCCATATGAAAAGTGAATTAATCTGCCAGTACAAAAAGCACTTCTGCATCAATATCGAGGAATTATTGAATTAAAACAAACTCCTATATCTTTCTAAAAGTTACTTACAAGTCAGCTCAGTCTTAATTCAAGTGAACTAAGATATTTACAGTAGAAACCAGAGCAAAAACAATTGATAACATTTTGCTTTATCAGTGTAAAAGTGTGAAACTATCCATACAACATATCAGCTGCTGCACATTTTACTGCACTCATTGATGATCACATTATTGATCCGCATCCAACAGGCTGTTTATCCAAGAAAAGATGTCCGACCTTTGCAGCCGCTCGGTCCAAACTGAAACGTGGCCGGAGAGCATCTGTCACAGTTCCTGCCGGCCACGTTGGGTCGACACTGACACTGGCCCCCGCTGGGGTCACACACGGTGCTGAGGGAGCCCTGGGGGTCACACTGGCATTCTGGAGAATGGGCGTCCAACACAAGGGACAATTCAAAACACTAAATCTGCACATCCTGGGAGAGACGTGAAGAATTTACGAGCTCAGGGGGAATTCAAAGAGGAAACAAGTCGAGTCTTGCTGGGGAAGAAAGCTGGAGGCTCAGCGCTGATGAGAGGCATTTAGGGATCAGCAAAGACAACGGGTCACTGTTAAAGCAGCTGTGAGGGAGGCAGCAAGAGAACGAGAGGTGATGAAATCAGATGCATGTAAAGAGGGAGGAAAGGAGAAACACTGTTAATGGGATCGGTCACACCTTTATATTTTGAACAATAAAAGTCTTTCTGAAGTTTATCTTCCCGGCAAAACCAAATTTCTTTTTTGTTTCCAGTGCAAATATCTTAGTACAAATGAAATAAGACAAAACTAACTAGAAATTAGCAGTTCAGCTCAATGTAAGAGCTTGTTTTAAGTCAATAATTTCTTAATATTGCTGAAAAAGTACCAGTTATAAGTAAACTAATCTGCCATTGCAGCAAGACATTTTTTTCAATACCATAAGAATAACTGTCTTGTTCCACTGGATGATTGCTTTACCTATAGCTAGAGCTTTTTCATCAATTTTAAGGAATCTTCTATTTAAAACAAGCTCCTATGTCTCACAGAAAAGTAATGTATTGGTTAGTTTCGTCTTATTTCAAGATATTTGCACTAAAAACTAGACCAAGAATCTGCGTTTGCATTTTTTTTTTTTACAGCGCTTTCTCGTTGAAAACGTTTTCATGCAGCCCTTCCTGGTTTTTACTGAGGTGTGACTGAAATGATCCCCTCTGAATCAGAGCCGAGCTGAAATCAAACCCTGAGGGGAATTCCTGCTGTCAGCCTGATTGGGCTGGGTCAAAGGTCGGAGTCCGGGGTTAAGTAGAGACATTCCTCTTAGAGCAAGAACTACCTTTTGCTCCGTCATCACCGCGCTGCGCTGAGCTCAGAGTGCCGAGTACCTTTAGCTCCCTGGTGCAACAGGGCAGAGATGCTGAAGATGAAGTTCCTGCAGATGTCAGTCATCGGGGTTTTAATGACACTCTGGCTGTTCTCCAGACATCGATAACGCTGAAACGTTTCCCAGGCACTCGAGTCCCCTCCCACAGAGGAGGTGAATATTTCCAGGTTCTTACAGTGCGGCATCAACACGATCTGAGGGACAGGGAGAAAAACACCGACCTGAAGGTCCAGAAGATGTGCAGACCTGCAGTCTGAGTGCGTTTAGCATGACATGGACCACTGACAAACTCTGAATAAAACGTGTCAGTGACTCAGTCCGTGAACTATGACCTCAGTGGAAGAAAGGACAGAAATGAGAAAGTGAAGAGCTTCCTCACCGAGTCGATGAGCGTGTATGGAGAATGGACTTCACTGAGGGCCGAGTAGAGCGGGAGACTGAGGCGGATCGTGTAGTTCAACCCAGATTCAAAACAAACCGCCCTCGGCAGAACCACATACCTGTGGACACAGATTCAGCGTGCACTTCCATCACTCATGACTTTTAATCCTGTCTTTAAAAAAAAACAACAATAAGCCAGTTCAGGATTTGGTGTTTTACTTGACTTGTTTCTTTTTATGTGGGGTTTCCAAAGTTGGCCAAATCCAGACCCGACTGCGAGAGGTCACCGTATTTTAAGATGTATAAGATTAATCAAATGTATGGCTCATTAACAGGCCTGTGCAGAACTTGATGACACGCTCAGGGGGTAATTCAGTCTGTGATCCAGTCATTTGACACAGGAAAGCATCTATAACATGAAGGGCTTGAAGACTGGAGTTGGCTATCCAACAAGTTGGCTATCCCCAGTTCAAGATCTTCTGGTCTTTCTGACTGGTTTCCTTTGAATGGTCCATTTTTTTCACCCTCTGATAATTTAAGGAAGCAGCCCACTCACCGGGAGCTGGGATGAAGGGAGATCATTTGGTTGTCGTCGTCCGGCACCGTGTTGACGCAGCGGCTGTCAGCTGTAATTGGTCCAGGCCTCATTACCGTCATCAGAACCTCCTCCCATTGGTCAGGCAGCTGCAGAAAGACATCACAGTAAAGTGAAGACGCGTCTTCCTGACTGACAACACGTCCCGCAGGTTTTCAGCTTCTCCTGGTTTGAGGTATCAAACCCACAGGTCGCGTCTCACCTGAGGCTCATAGCGGATAAGAATGTCATACTCCATGGAATGAGGGATGTTGTCCACAGAGAAATCCAGGAAAGCCCTTCAGGGACATTGACCAGGCCAACGCCTGTCCAGGTGGGACTGCGGTCATGAGGGTGGGGTCTGGGCACCATCGTCACTCCCTACAGACACACAGAGGAGGCCAACAGGTGTTCGGGTTCAGGCTGATCCAAAAATAAACAAACACTACAGATACCCTGTGACAACGATGAAGATGTTTGGAATAATGAGAAGCATGTCAAACCACGTGACAGAAACACTATTAAGTTTTGTTAAAACGTAATAGTTTTAATAAAACTTCCATCCTGCTTTCTGCTGCAAATATTTTGTTTTCTTTTTAGGAATCAACTTTAAAGTAGATGTTAGAACTCTAGATAGTTTTTTCTGCAATGTTTAACCCTTTTTCTATTTCCCAGATGGGACATAAGACTCAAGCTCCTTCATCACATGAAAAGGTCAGAGGTAAAACTCACAGGTCCAAACTTGGCATCTTCAGCCTCGTAGGTGTAGTGATCCAGAGCAACAAAGTAGAACCCGGACTCCACTTGATCGCAGCGACGGCCGAACATGTGATCCCTGCAGACACACTGACCGCTCACCTGGTCGCACCTGCAGACAGGAAGTCACAAACAAGCGTGCAAACTGATTTGTCGCAACAAAAACCTGCTTGTTTCGGTGAGGGAGACGGATTTATTTCAGCCATTTTATTTCCTTCTTTATGGTTGAACTTTACAGTCAAACATTTGGTTTGTGATTTCATCAGTTCAGTCACGATGAACTGAACTGATGAGATCACAGTTCAGTTCATATGTCCACATATGAGCGCCCACACTCATATGGACACTGCAACGCCCAGAGGTTTTTTATTTTTAAGCAAATTTGAACTTAAAGATGTGTTATTAATTTTCAAAACACTTAAATAAAGCAAGCTATAAAAAAGTAAAAACACAGAAGAGCTTTTAAGTTTTTATAGGAAAAAACACAGATTTCTGGTCTAAATTCAATAATTTCCTCTTAAAATGGCTAAACTTGAACATTGTTACCCTGAATTTTACTCAGTTTAAGCCTCAGGAATGCAGTTAGATACTCCCAATTGTTTATTTTAATGATTTTTTTTACTCAAGTGGGTTTTATTTGATAGTGGAACGATAGTTAGGTGGGTTGTGAGAGAGGGAAGACTTAGCTAAGGCCATCGGGTCAGGACATGAACCCTTGATGACCTCGTCGAGAACCGAGGTTTTTGTAAACAGGTCGCGAGTTTTACCCCTGCGCGCCCGACGCTCGTAATTGTGTAAATGAGAGTGAACATTATAAAGAGATCCAAAGAGCTGTCTGGAGGCTTCAGAAGGAAGATTATGGCAGCTTGAAGGTCTGGTCAAGGTTTCAAAGAGGTTTCAAGCCACAGTGCAGAAAGCTGCATTTAAAACAGCTGCCACTGTGCCCAGGTCATCCAACATGTCGGACCTTAAGGCAGACTACAAGATGCTACAAGAAGTTTCTTAAGATGAAAAAAATGTCATCATTCAGCAGGCTCAGACTGTTGACATGAGATGCATGACTGTATAATCAGAAAATGAACATGAAAGTCTATGAACTTGGACTGAAGGTGAGAAATGGGACAAGATTTCAGAGGCTCATATCAGAGTTTAGTGTGAGGCTGAAAGAAGTGCATTAGCTAAAGAGACACAGAGTGTCTGCAGGCTGTGCTGTTTTTCTGTTTGCATAATGAGTAAAAGAAGGTACATTTTTGTGTTTAAGAGCAATAAAACCCTCTCTTTTCAGGGATAAAAACTGAGATTAGGCACCAAGCCTTTCTTTAAGAACTGATATTTAAGTGGGTTCCCTAATTTTCACCTGAATCCACTTAAACCACATGATGCAATGAGTGGTGTTTACAGATCATGCAGAACTTCTGCTGCAGTGTTACCATCTATGAAAAATATACCTTTGTGAAAAAGAGTCTCCCATCCTTCCTGTTTTCAAGCGTCAATAACTGGTGAGGGTGTATTAAAATGGACTCACCGGTTGTGGACGGCCCCTCCCAGATCGCAGTCGCATGGTCTGCAGCCGTCCATGTCGTTACTGAGTCCCCAGTGTTCGTCCTGCAGACCCAGCAGGTCCGATTATGGTTGTTGGATAAGTTGGATAAGTGCAGAGTAATCTGAGTATTTTCCTCACCACACACTGGTCGCAGTCGCGCCCGGTCACCAGGCGTTTGCAGAAACAGCTTCCTGTTTCGCTGTCACACGGGTTTCCTCCAGGAGCTGTTCCCAGGGGACTGCAGGTACACGCTGCAACCATCACAACTCATCAGTCCCAATCTGCATCCTAAATATATCCAGTAACACCTGCTTCTGTTTAGGTCTGAAATAAAGGATTTAAGAATGAAAATCCTGATATTTGTTGTTCCTGCAGCCTTTTGATGTTCTGTGGAGATTTTATGATGCTTCGACATCCTTATTTATTCACAATTATACCCCTAAGATCACTGACTTTTAATGTTTCAGAGAAAGTCATTGTTGATGGAAAGCAGCAACAAACCATGAGACTACCAACACCATGCTTAGCACATTTAGCCATTTCTGTTTCATTCACTTCAGTCTCTGTTTCCTTATACATTCCAGGGAGAAATTAATCAACGACTTAAAGAGTCCAAAGCCCAACACAAACTCACTGAAAGTCTGCCTCTGCGTGTTGGTGCATTAGGGTGTAAATAAACCCCTAATGCACCAATGTACTGGGAAAACATGCAAACACCATGAATAAAAGTTTTAACAGCCTCTAGGAAATCTCATGTCCTTTTGTCGCAGTGGTTCTGATGTTTGTTACCTCAGATTTAACTCTTCTGTTTCAAAATCAAGCATCTCAAGTCAGTCCCGACTGATAACATGCCAGTGATTTATCAGTGAATCTGATTTGTCTGTGAGGATCTTTCAGAAATGATCGATGAACCGAGCCTTCATGTGAGCGATTTATACCTTTGCAGCCTTCAGGTTCATCGCTCAGCCCGTAGTATGCTGGTTTGCAGTGTTCGCAGCGTTCCCCCTCCACGTTGACTTTACACCGGCACTGACCAGCGATCAGACCGACTCGGACGTCCGTCAGCCCGTCGCATATTCCTCCGTTCAGGGAGCCCACGGGGTCGCAGTTACAGGCTGCAGACAAACAAATCATAGCTAACGGGTCAATATCAGAAGAGCAGAACTCCAGCTTCATGTCAGCAAAAGCGGAAATCTTCTGTTGACATGGAAAAATATCAAAAACCAAAACTCTGGGTGTTTTTCATATCTGCCTCAGTGTGATCATCAGAACGTCAGGCTGTAGATGCGGATGATTAAAAGTGTGATTCTGTCGTTTGAGCAAAGGTGAGAAGATAATCTGTGAGGCAGGTCTAAGCCTGGATGAAACCACATCAAAGGCCTCCCACATGAAAACATCCCTAAATGTTTGGTCTTAAATTCATCCTTTCATCTTCCTTCATGAAAATGTCTGAGTGTTTGAAATCTGATCAGGACTTTAATATAAAACCATGTTAACAAGACAAAAGAGCATTTGAAATGAAAGCGTTTCTGCAAAGCACAGAAACTGTGATTTGTGGATCTTAGAGGATCCTGGTACTTTCTAAAGACAGAACTGTGTACCGACTCGGAGACCTCAGGAATCAGCTAGACTCTGATGTTATTTCAAGCCTTCGCAGGTTTAGATTTGAATAAAAACAGGTAGACTCACGCTGGCAGATGTTTGGGTCTCTGAGGTCCTTCTCCGGATGTTGATAGTAAAACGGTTTGCACTGCTCACAGTTGTGTCCGGTCGTGTTGTGCCGACAGTCGTCGCAAACCCCTCCGCTGACGTTTCCAGAGGCCATGAACACGGCCATGTCGAAGTGGCATGAGTCCGAGTGTTGGTTACAGTTACACTCTGAAGAGCAAACAAGAAGAACAAGAAGGAGCTTTCATAACCAATCTGATGTCCAGTTCACCGTAGAAGCTGTTGCAGATTAGATTTAACCATTTATTAGCTGTTTTGATTTTATTAAGTCAGTAAAGAGACGATATGATTCTGGCAGAATCATAAACTTTTATCTCAATCATCATCAGAACCAATAAAGTATGAATGAGTGGCTCAATGTGGACCAGCAGTGACAGATCAGTGAAACCACTTTGGATCATTGGAGATTTACTTGGGCATTATTGAACCACTTTAAAGCTACAGAGACTGCATTGGCTTAGACAAATGGAAATGGCTGACACACAAGTGGATTCTTATGGACCAGTTATGGACCAGTTTACAGCCATGTGGGCCATTCTGGACCGGTATGGAACCACGGGGACTCACTTTTGCAGGCATTGGTGTTGCGCCCCTCGGCTGGTCTCCAGGGCAGGTCGTGGTAAAATTCTTCGCACTGTTCACAGTTCAGTCCTTTAGTGTTGTGGTTGCACATACAGTGACCATGAACCTAAAAGACACAGGCAGATAATCAATAATCATTACATACTCAAAAACAATTGAAACTGAATTGAACTGAAGACAGTTTAAATGTGCTGGAGACTCACCATGCCCTCCATGGTCTGGCCTGCTCCCTCGACAGGGGCGCATTGAGACGCATGTCCATAACAGAAGCAGTTTCCTCTGACCACCATGTCATAGATGGCATAGTAATACTTCTCCTTGATCTCCATCCGAGAGTCCAGCAGGTTGTCTCCGAGTGTGTGCAGCTTGGTGAACTTGACCCGCAGGTTGGTGATCTTCAACAAGTCTGAACAAAGAGGCAATAATCACAGATCAACAACCTTTTTCTAAATGAGACTCTGGTTAAATTGCCCGATTCAAGGGGACGCACTCTGGATCCGTGGACTGTAAGGGTCTTCGATACGAAATGCTGGGTCCAGGACTCTGTAAATCACCTAAAAGAAGAACAATTAACAACCAAAGAGCACCAGAAGGTCACAGTAATGGACATCCATTAAGTCAATGTAAGGACACTGAAATGCCCCTGCAGTTGCCTTCAAATGTTTTCAGGAGCTGCAGTACCTCGCCTTCAGTGGATGGCTCGATATCCGAGTAACGAGAGTCGCAGATGACATCATCAACCTTCCGCATCGGACCATGGGAAACTGAAGGAAAGGATGACTCGCAATCGTAGGCAAAGTAGCGATAAACCTGCCAGGTTTTTCCATAGTCTGCTGATCGCTCAATGACCATGGCAGCTGGTCGAAACGTCTGACGAAAGAGAACAGGTAAAGATGACACGTCCAAATCTCATCTGCCTGTCTAATTAAGCTTAACAATGAGCTCATCCAATAATCAACAGAGCTGGAATGGCCATGTTTCTACTTATTGCTGGTTCAAGAAATCAGCAGAAAGGCGCTGAAGTCTAATTACTTTAAAAAGAGAATCGGTTGAAGCATAAAGACCTGGACCATTTTTATGGTTCCTTAAAGGTTCTTTCCACCTACTCTACCACACCAGAATCAACTCTACTTCATCAGATCAACCCCACTTGGGTTCAGCACCCAATTTCTCAGAATTTCTGATTTCTATCACCAGTATGTCACGTTGTGTGAAGAGCTCACCCTGAAGGTCATAATGAGATGAGTGAAGTGAAACTCGGCTTCGAGGTTCAGCTGGACGGTGACGTTCTCCAGACCTGAAGAGCCACAAATGGAAATCAGTTTGTACCAAAAAAAACAAAAAAAAACAACCTCAAATGTTGAGTGATCGTCAATAACCCCAACATGGTTCCTGATGCACACTTCAATGACAACACTCTTGCTTTTTATTAAATAAAAAAGCACAAAGGGTTGCTAATGAAAAGTAATTCAGACAGAGATAAAGGAACAAAGTGGGAAGCTGATAAAGGGGTACACCAACTGTGAGGTTGATACCCGGCTCTGATGTTCATAGAACAAAACGTCTGAGCCGTTACCGTTCTCGGACTGCCACCAGGTCTTCAGCCTGTTGGGACCAAATGTGGTGACGACGTTTTCAATTCGGTGGCTGTGGTTGTGATTGGCCAGCTCATCGTCATATGGTGCTGCTGAGTCACACACAAAGCACTTCTTCTCCTCCTGGTTAAAAAAGAAAACAGAGGGGGAGGGCAAAGAGTTAACAGGGAGTTAAATTCCTCGGATTCCTCTCTGCTGGTGGTCAGCGGAGATAAAACTCTTCAAGCAAAGATTCTTGAGAACAAGTTGAACCTTCAGCAACACCTTCGAGCTGGGAGGTTTTAACATGCGCCGCTGCTTTGCCTAATTTGTCGGAATAAGACTTTCCTGATCCGAGGTTGTTGAGCACTATTTATCTTCTTCTTTCCATCACAAACATTCAATCTCTGATAAGTGCATCAGAGGCAACATGGGGTTCGGTGTTTTGCTCAAAGACGGAGAACCAGACCTCAGACGCATCCTAAGCCGCAGCTGCTGCTTATATTTTCTTTGTCCTTTGAACCTCCTGCCACCAACTGAGAGTCTAAAACTCAAAACTAACAGATCAAGTTCAAACAGTTTACGCAATCGGACCTGAAACCAACAAGTCCGGGTCAGTGTGAACACTTTATGCCGACAAAAAAAAAAAGGTCCCAGAAAGGTTTGGTTTTATATCAGAACGGATGGAGAGTGTTGGACCTTTTCGCTGTTCTGTTTGTTGAAACATCTGGATAAACATCTGCCTGCAGCCAGACTCTCGACCTCCTTATAGGGAGATCGTTTTACACAGGAAACACCACAGACTGCACCACAGACACACACAGTTTAACCAAACACTCAGAGCGTCCATCCCAGGGACAGGCGGGAAGTCTGCAGGAGGTCAGAAACTGAAGGTCGTTTCCCATGAGACTCAAACAGGCTGATGAGAGGGGTTCCTTTACCGACTTCAAATCTTTCAAAGCCCATTCATTCATTCATTCATTTACAAACTGAGAAGCTCATGGAAATCCTTAGTCGCTGAGTTAAAAGTTTAACCTGGACCATTAATTTTAACTTTAATCAAATCAAATTTTATTTGTATAGCACATTTCAGCAAGATATTTCAAAATGCTTTACATCATAAACACAAGAACACAAAGTCATGCAAGATAGACAATACATTGTTACATATTACGTTTAAAATACAATTCTAAACAGATGTGTTTTTAGTTGCGATTTAAAGGAAGTCAGGGTTTCCGCTGTTATACAGTTTTCTGGAAGTTTGTTCCAAATTTTTGGTGCATAGATGCTGAAAGCTGCTTCTCCTCTCTTGGTTCTGGTTCTTGGGATGCAGAGCAGACCAGAACCAGAAGACCTGAGAGTCTGGAAGGTTGATACAACAACAGCAGATCTTTGATGTATTGTGGTGCTAAACCGTTCAGTGATTTATAAACTAACAACAATATTTTAAAGTCTACTCTCTGACTTTAAAAGTCAAAGAGCCAGTGGAGGGACTTTAAAACTGGTGTTATGTCTCTATCTTCCTGGTTCTAGTGAGAACACGAGGAGCAGCGTTCTGGATCAGCTGCAGCTGTTTGATTGATTTGTTGGACAGACCTGTGAAGACGCTGTTGCAATAATCAATGCGACTAATATCTGTTTTATACTTGTTATTTCTGTCCACACACATGTCCATCTATGAGGAAGTCAAGTTTTGCTCCCTTATGGCAAAGGGCAACAAGACTGAAGGAGCAGATTTCGTCCTACTGCCAGGTTGAATGGAGCCATTCATCAACCTTGAAGGAATGACTCCATTGGGCAAAATAAGCATCAAACTTGTCTTTTACCTGCAGGTGGCTGACAATGCAGAACGGTTCTGGACGCTTCAGTCCACAGGTAGAGGTGGACATCAGCTGGTGAGCTCGGCCAATCAGAAGATCCCCTGTCGCTGGGTAACAGCTGCCTTCGGTGCAAACATCCCTAAACTCTGGGAGGCTGAGGTCATCCGGGGCCCCGCCCAGCGAGTCTCCGCCCTCCTGACTGCAGGTGAGTACCTGCAGAGCTGAGAGAGCGAACCATGCAGCGCTGCAGTCAGACTGGCTCTTTCAAGCAGATGAACGTCTGAAGATGAGGAGCAGATACTACTGAGTATGATGAAGGTGGATGCATTTACAGCTGGCCACTACAATTACATCCACTGACCTTCTAACCTGCTCTGTAGAGCCTCCTGCCCGGAGTTTAAATTGGTCAATGGAAATCCAATACCTAAAATTACTGGAGGCGGCAAGACATGTCTGGGTTTCAGACAGCATCATAAAGTTCTGCTCCATCAGACTGATCCCAGGTCAGATTTGCAGTATTTCTCTAAATTGCTGAGTTGAATATTTCAAAGGTCAAGCAGAGACAAGAGCTGAATGAAATTAGTCTCCATCAAAATGTCCCGAGATCAAACTGATGTGTAATCACTTTTCAACACGACATATCGTTCTATTCGCGTCCTGCTTTTCCTCCATCAGACTGATCCCAGGTCAGATTTAGAGTAGAAATATGGCTGCTTGTTCCACAGTGGGAAAAATTCCATCAGCAGCTTGTACAAGCAGACACATCAATAGCCAATTTAAAACATACGAAGAACAGAATAGGGTCGTTAAAACATTTGCAGAATGCATAGTTGTGCACAAAAACTGCCAAACTTTATTTGTAAACACTTAAAAAGTTGAAGTTTGTTGGGAGCTGAGCTGATTTAAATATCTAATCATTTTTTCCTCTTCTAATCTCAGACCAGTTTGAAAGTGAATAGATTAATCGATCTAAACTCAGCCGACAGAGGGGGGGAAAAAAAGTTTCTTGAACATGTTTCAGCACTCTCTAAAGATTTGAGTCCACTCTCTCTGAACTTTCATTTCAAAGTCATTTAAGTTGTTCTCTTGGTCCCTGATTGAAAACAGCTGTTTCAGGAGTCACCTTGTTCTGGTTCGGATCCAGTCCGCGCCCGTTCAATTATTATTATTATTTTCCCCATGGAGTTTTTAATATGTTTGAAACTGAAAGTTGAAGAAAATTAAAGTTTCCAAGCTGATCTCAGGTCAGATCACCGGCACTGAGTTCAAGAGCTTGTCTGGGAAAGAAACCCCCCCGCCCCCAAAAAACCCTCTGCAAAACCGAGTCACATTTACTCACCGAGCAGCACCGCGAGCCGCAGCTGCAACATGATCCACAACCAGAACCTCCGGGAACCGGGATCAGAACTTGTCAGACCCCTGCAGACCTGCTGAGGATCCTGTGGGCTCCCAGAACCCCCCACCAGATCCAAGTGGCCTCTGCCGAGCCCCGCCTCCTGAGAGCCACCCACCCCCTCTTCCGGCCGGCCCAGATTAAAACCCCTCCAACAGAACCGTAGAACGAACGATCAGCCGTCCAGAACCAGAACAGCACTCAGATTTAGAGGGTAAAACTGGACTGAGCTCTGGATCCATCAAACGGCAGCTGACCTGAAGTCAGAAGAACGTTTTTGGCAAAGAAAGAAATGAAGCGTTCAAAAGGAGAACGTTCCCAAATTGGATCCCGGATCCGTCTCATGCTGAAAATGTTCAGTCTGAAGAGCCAGACATTAACATTAATGCTGTAACGTTGATACTGCTGTAACATCACTGTTACAACATTAATCAATAACAGTAATGTTACTGATCAACAAAGATTAACGTTAATCAGTAATATGAATCATTTGTTGCTGATTATTGCTGATATATTGATGTCCTTGTCTAAAACAAAGTTTCACTCTTAACCCCCCTTTAGAAAACACAAACACTCCCCTCGAGAGGACCAGAGACAAAGACATTCCTGAGCCCCTTCCCTCCCCCTTTGATGAAACTCACCTGCAACAACAAAGAAGGCGTGTGTGTGTGTGTGTGTGTGTGTGTGTGTGTGCGTGCGTGTGTGTGTGTGTGTGGGCTTTCTGCTTAGGATCTCTTCTGGGGCTCTCACCCATCTTCTTCTGGGGCTCTCACCCATCTTCTTATGTCTGGTAAAGCCATATGGGACCCAAATCCCGGTTCAGCAGAACCACAGGTAGTGTCAGGGTTGAAGTTGAGAGTACTGTTAGGTGTTAGGAGTGTATTCTGACTACACTGACCTGCGAAGTGCTTGGTGCAATTGGGAGTTACTAAAAAAAGTCAGATAAAGTCCTAAAAAAAAACCCAACTGGTAACAAATAAAAACTGGTTCAAAGTAAAAACTGCTCGTGTGTGTCATGTCAGCAGGCGGCCACATGTTCGGTAACAAAGTTGGTCTGCTGGTTCTCTCCTCTCTCCTTCAGGTGTTTACTGTAAACTTCCTGTTGTATGATCAACAAAGGCTGAGTGCTGATTGGCTGCTGCAGATTGGCGTGAGAAACCGATTTAAAGAATCATGAATCTTTTGAAACCTGAATAATCTTGCGTCTTTTCATCCTTGGATTATTATTTTTTTTAATCCTTGCATTGTTGATTAGCTTACTTTCAGTCATCGGATTTTAACTAAATCGTGGGGACAATAATCTGTGTTCATTCTGCTGTCTTTGTCTCCTGGGAGTCTGTTTCAGATGCCGCCCGTTTTAAATTTTTCAAAATAAAAACATGAAGGTTTCGCTCTCACCTTATGCCACTTCACAGCTTCATCATTTAAATCAATGTTCCCCAATCCTGTGCTGCTTGTTTCAAACCCCGTGGTTCTCAGGCTTGTTTTTTTTTTTTTTTTTGAGAGATTGAGCGGCTGTTCATGATTGTAGTTGTTTTGGGTTTACTCTGAAAACCTTTATGGAAATGGAAGCGAAATTCATTGAATGGGTCATTCTGACACAGATGACGCTTCTGCAGGAAACGTTCCGCAAATTTCTCTGAAGATCAGCACCCCCTGGTGGATAGAAACTGAATAAATCAATAAGTTTTAAACACATCCAGATATTTCATTCATGCAGGAAAGACTTCATCTAAAGTAGATTAAAATGTCTTTTTTTGCGTTTTAGAGTTTCGTTCATGCCACTAAGCATTTTTTTTCAATGATACAACTTGACACTGAATGTAATAACTAAAAAAGAGGGAAGACTAAAATAAAAGATTTATCACTGATCTTTTCTGAAGCTGTATTGTTGACTTTTCCCAAACTGATAGGGACTCAAAACGATTCCTGCCACAAATAGTTACACTAACACATGAGAATTAGTTATTCATTTTACTTCTCAAATTACTGGTGCTTTTTAAAGGCAGAGGAAACAATGCACCATGACTCAATTTAGTTTGGTTCAAATGAGCTTTCATTTCTCTGATTCAAAACAAAACAAATGTCCTCTCAAGGTACTTGACACACCTGCAATATTTAATGTATAAAATACATTTGTTCAAATTCAAGCCACATGCTTCAGCAAGCATGTGGTGACAGTGGACAGGAACATTAGTCTATAATGACTAATCTGGCTCAGGGTGAGAGGTCATCCGTTGGGTTTCGAGAAGACCGGTATAATGATGAGAATTTTGATAAATGTTTGGATGCAACATCTGAATCTGCAATCTGTCCCAAAAGAAATCACTCAATCAATCCAAATATAATAATTTTTTTATTTTTATGATGTAAGGTTTGATCTTTGTGAAAGTTTCTAACACAAAAAAGCAAATATTCCAAAAGTAAGAGCATTAATTTTAACTTCAGATATACAAGTAAAAAAAATGAAGTCATCATTTTGCTTTGTTTTCAGGACCCTGCAGGACTTATGAGGAACATGCGGTGGAATTTTCAGCTCTTGAGGCGATTTCCATTTGAAGTGACTCCACCGTCTGCAGCAGATCGGCCACCTCCACTATTTTCTCCTTCTTTCTCTGGATCAGCAGCTGGATCTTCTGCTCCACGTCTGCCAGAGATGAATGTACAGGAAACATCAGCTCAGATCAGTCAAAAACATCTTGCAGAAACCACATTCAAACATTCAGAACCCAAAGAGAAAACATCAGGGTCATTCGGACTGCAGGGAGCAGCTTCCTTTCCTCGGCCTCCTCATTCACATGCAGGAATTAGGATGTGGGCCAGAACGAAAACGTTTTGAGGAAGAACCGTCTCACTGTCCTGGCCAGAGTGAATTTCAGTCGTTTTCCTAAATTACAAACTGCATCAGTCTGGTGCTGATCTCCAGAGGTCAGGGTTCACCTGGCCAGGTCACCAGTCCATCACAGGACAGGCAACCATGTTCAGTGTGATTTGGAGAGACCAGTCATGTTTTTGGACTGTGGAGTTTGACACATTTACAGGGAAATCATGCAAGCTCCTTGCAGAAAGACAAGGCAGGATTTGAAACATAACCTTATAAATGTTTTTATTTATAAGTTTAAATCGGATGGTGCAGTTTTTCCTCTTTTCCATTAGCTGCTAAATAAGTGTCACTTTGTCACATTTAATGTAGAATAATATTGTGTATTCTTTAACCACCTGATGCAAATGTCATGTTACATTTTTGTTCATAAACTTTCTCTGAGGAAACTTATCAGAGCCAAAACACTGAAGCTTTTTCCCAGGACAAATAACCGTCACTGGGGCAAACATTGAGACTCACGCTCCTTTCAGTGTTCAGAATTTCTTTTCTTTTCTTCTACTTTTCCTGTAAAACTGTCGTGTTGCCCAACCTGTTCAGTGTCTCATTGATATCATTAATAATCCTACAACAACTCTTAGTCTGACGGTGATAACCTTCTATCTGTTGGAGTCTGTCCTCCATTTGTCTCTGCATATCTTCGGTCTCCTTCAGGATTTTCTGCAGTCGATCTGCGGCTTCGTCTTCAAGTGTTTTATTCAAGTGCTTCTGCTTTAAAAGCTCAAACTGCTCCTCAACTTCTTGCAGCTCCTGTTGGGAGAAAGATGTTTCAGAAACCTGGTCAAACCCAGCAGCTGCTGCTTTTGCTAACAGTTTTCAGATTTTACCGTGTCATTAGAAATGTTGGTCAATGCTGACTCAGCAGTTTCTCTGGCCTCTTTTGCCATCTCTCTGTTCTGCTCTGTTTTATTTTTCAGAGCCTCAATCTCCTCCAGCAGATCTACAGGCTGGTTCATCAGCTGATTCTCATTGCGGCTCAGTTTGTTTTCCACCTGAAACACGGCAGAGAAACCATCAGAACCAGTCAGGCTGAGATGATCTCTGTGAAACAATTGGAAAGTTTGAGTCTCACCTCTTGGATTCGGTCTTTGGCGTCGTCTCTGTCTTATTTGCAACCTCCAGGTCATCGTTAGCGTTGCTCTGAGCTGCGTCTGCAGCAATAAGGTCACTGAGGATGTCTTTGACGTTGATGGTTTTAGTTTGCTCCCTGTTAAAATAATAATAATAAATAAATAAAAATAGTTTCTGAACAGAGCTGTGTGTGAAATAACTTTGTTTTCAGACACCAACTTGACTTCTGTCGCTTTCTGCAGAAGCTCCTGAGCTGCTTTGGCTTCATCCTGCAGCTTCTTCAGTCCTCCTGGAATTTTGGGGCACCGTTCAAAAGATTATTGATCTCATTGATCATCGATTGGATCTCAGCAGGTGATCGCGGTAGCTGGATCCTCAGGACAGCGTTGGCCATTTTCTCAATGTCATCTGGAGAAACCATGTCATCTGCCAGGAAGGAAACATACAGAGATGTTTCCCACAGTAAGATGCGTCACTCTGGTCCATTTTTAGAGGACAGTAGACACAGAGCTGATCATTTCATGGTTGGATTATTTGGCGTTGAAGGTCTCCTAAAAGAACTGACTGTGAACCCTGACCCATCAGATATTGTTTGACTCTTTGGAGGAGCTCTCTGGTTTGGTTTTTCTCTCTCTCCACTGATGGATGGTGTCGCTGATCTGGCGCTGCAGGACTTGGGCCTGGTCTCTGGTGTCCTGAGCCACTTGCTGGACGTCACTGATCTGAAACGGTCAAAATAACAGAAACACTTCTTAAAACAGGACAACCCTCAGAGAAGACTCACCAACCAGTCTACAGCAACTGTTTACCTGCAACAGATTTTTCAAAGTGTTGCTTTTAACTGGACTTGGTAAAGTTCTGGTTTGGCGCTCAAACGGTTTCTATCAACTCTGGGGACCTTAAAACTGTTTTTGTCTTGGCAGAAAGTCTTTGCAGCTCCAGAGGAAGTAGCCATTTTAATGAGGACGGGGCTGTTTGACTCACGGAGACTAACAAGCAATTAAAATGCCGCAGAGTAAATCTGATCTCAAACTGCTAGGCTTCAGGGTAAGTCAATAAAAACATGAACCATAGGCAGTTTTAAAGGGTTCCA